TCACCCGCCGGACCCCGCAGCACCCTCCCCGTGTGCCCCCATCCCACCCCCAGGCAGGCCACGGGGCTGAGTACAGCCCCCAGGCGTGCAGGGGACAGAGCTGCCGACGAGTGCTCACCCATCTCTGGGTGCTGGAGCAAAGGGCTGGACGGTGGATGGTGTGTCCCAGGAGGAAGCATCCCAGGTTCCAGGGACCCACTCAGGGGTACCGGCTGGGAGGCCCCCCAGACCCATCGACTGTGGCAGGACCCCAGTGCTAACCTGCCTGGCAGTCTCGCAACCCACAAGCCAGCTCAGCTGCCTCCACACACCCGCGGCCTGTGCTCTGAGAACAGTGTCGTGCACGGGATCTGGGGCCACGCCCAGTCAAAAGGAAAGAGAGGCCGAGAGCTGAAAGCTGGCCCCACTGGACACTCGGGTTCCAGCTCTGCTGCGGGGAGCACATTCCTGACCAGCCCTGAGGAGTCCACGTCTAGGCCGGAGGGGGCTGCGGGGCTCAGAGCTGAGGGTCACCGATGGTCACCGATGTGGCGAGTCCCGGCTATGGACGGGAAGGGGAGAAGCTTAACCAAAGAAAGTATATTCAGAAAGTGGAAATTTTACCAGAAACTTGGAATCTATGAAAAATAAGAAATCTAAATCGTTGAGTTGAAAACTGCCTTCACAGGAACAGTAATAAGGCTGGCAGTGGACTTTGCAACAGGTGACGGAGGACAGTGTCGGGCCTGAGATGAGAGAGCTGCCCTAACGCTATGAGCAGCTCCTGTCCCCGCCAGACATCCGAGCGGGAGAGGAAAGCTCATTCCCACAAACGTGTGTGCCCAGATGTTCCCAGCAGCACTGCAAGCGCCAGGGAGAGGACGCCCCGGGGCCCACTGGCAGCTGATGAGAAAACGGGCATGTCCACGGGTGGAATATTACTAAGCCATAAAAAGTACCGCTTCGTGCGGTTCTGTGTGGAGGGACCTCAAAAATATGTTCATAAAAAGCAGCCAGTTGCAAAAGAGCCCGCTGTGTTATCCCGTTTCTACAAAAGGTCCCGCAAGAGGGGAGAGAGAGCAGGTCAGCAGCGGCTGTGCGCCGGCGCAGAGGGAGCACCGCACGGGCGGGAGGTGGCCTTTTGGGGTGATGAAACCAAATTGATGTCCAATTTTAGTGCAGAGACAGAAAAATTCGTTGACTTTCTACTTAACGTATGACTGGCATACGAGTCAGGCTGTTTTTTAAGAAGAGCTAAAGCATTTGCAGACTAAAACAGAGGTGACTGCACACACGAGCCAACGGAGGTGCCCCTGCACTCACACACGCACGTGCACTCACACACATGCAGGGGCACACACGTAGGCACACACGTGCATGCACTCGCACACACACGCACGCACACAAATACATATGAACAGTTCCCAGACAGCAGCAAAATTACCCCAAACTGGAGAAATGAAATTCCTGAGGCGGCTGAACCCCAGAGGGGGAGCGGGCTGAATCGGGGTGAAGGAAGCTTCACTGCACGAAACAACAATCACGTCACCAGGAGTTTCGGGCGCCGCAGAATGACGCGCTCGCAGCGGGGAGTCGAGATGCCCCGGCGCGCAGAGGCGCGGCTGCAGCGCTCAGTCAGGGCAGAGCCCGCGCGCTCGGCGAGATGGCCCGGCTCGGGCCTGAAAGAGAAGAAAGAGCAGCCAGGGAGGAGGCGGGCGAGTGAGCGGGAGGCTCAGAACACCCAAGGGGCCCGCATGAGGAACGGAGGCAGGTAATAGGGCGAAACCCCAAAACCCCCAACTGGGGATCCTGTCACAGCGAGGTGCTCCGTGTCGCGGTTACGAGATGCGGGGAGTCGCGCTGCCTGCGGGAAAACCAGCCGCCCGCGGCTCGCCCTCACTCAGGGGCGTGCGGAGGTCAGAGCCAAGAGGCGGGCAGCGGGTGGGGGCAGGCGCCACGGGGAGCTGGCGCGGGGCAGACGTCGCCGCCCGGAGGCCAGTCGGGGTGACCCTTCGGTCCCCATTTCCGCGCACCTAATAATATGACAGCCCCACACAGGCGCCTGCACCGGTGGGAGGGACACGGGTCACGGCTGCGGTCGCGACTTTTCCCGCCTCCTCCGGAGCGGCGGGGCGGCCGGGCCGGGACAGCACGGCCCAGACCAGGCACGCAGCAGGGCCACCCTGCGCCCCGAGGCTTGAGTGCGCGGCGGCCGTCACCGCGTTTACCGCCGGGAACAGAAGGCGGCGGGCGCTTCCCGCAGGCGGCCCCGGCCCGGGCAGTGAGGAGCCCCCCGGTCCTCGCAGGACGAAGGCCCCACCGGCCTCACAGAACTGACCAGAAAGCGACCCGCGGAAGCACCTGGGAAGCCGGGACGGGCGCCCTCAGAGACCAAAGGCCTCCGCCTGACAGCGGCCAGCAAGCCCCAGCGTAGACACCGCGCTGGGTGGTGAGGCCTGGACGGGGCCCCCAACTCAGAAACGAGGCAGAGGTGGGTCCCATCCATGAACCCCTGGAGGCCGGGAGGCCCGGGGCGACGACGTGGAGGGCCGGCTCCCAGGCGGGACAGTCACCCCGGCCGGCCCCTGTGTCCAGCGCCTGCTCTGCTCCGGCCAGAGCTCTGCAGCCCCGACTCCAAACCCACGATGTCTGCGCTCAGAAGCTCGGGGGCCCCAGGGCCTCATACCCTGACCACGCTCCCGGCTGCTGGGAGGCTCCAGGCGTGGCTGCAGGGGCGGCCGTGCGCTGCCCGGCTGGTGGCCACGCGGGAGGTGGCCGTGCCCAAGGCCCCCTCCCCCGACCCTCCCCCCAGAGACCCCCGAAGCCCCTCCCGGCGGCTCTCCCCGCGCAGCCCCGGTGCCCTCCGCTGGCGCTGCCCCTGCAGCCGAGGCCCTCCACCGCCAGCAGCAGATGCCGGGCCCTGCCCGCCACCAGGCTGCTTGCTGGGCAGGGCAGGCTGGCATCTGGGGGAGTCGTGACAAGTGGGGTCCAGGCTCCCTGCAGGCGGGTCCCGCCTCTGCGGACGTCCCAGCCCGGGCTCGTCCCCCAGAGGGACGGGAAGGCCGGAGGACGGTCAGTGGGTCCCGCGACCGGCAAGGGCCTGTGGACAAGCAGGCGGGGCCCGCGCGGGCCGGGTCCTCAGGCTGGCGGGCGCTCCTCCTGCCACCCGCACCCGGCCACGGCGTCTGCGGGCCCCGGCCACGAGGCAGGCGTGGGGGCGGCGGCAGGGGCGGCTGGGGCAAAGGGCAGCCTGCACCCCACCTGTGCCGCTTAGCCAGCCACGGCCCTAACCCTGTGGGGTCTCCCCGGCACGGCGCGGCCGGGCGCTCAGCAGGAAGGGGGCTCGGCCCCGCCGCAGGGAGAGGAGCTGCCCGGAGTCCCCTGCTCCCGGCGCTGCCCCCGGCGCTGCCCAGCGTCCACGGTGGGGGGGGCGTGTTCTGAGGGGCAGATGGAGCGAGGGGGCGGCCACCAAGGACCCGCGTCCCGCCGTCCCAGCCCGACCGGCTCTATTAGGAGACCATGTTTTATTAATCCTGATATTAAAGTTTAATGCTGTGATTACAGGGAAATGGGCTGCACCGCCGAGGAGCAATGGAGGACCCCAAGAGAGCCCGCGGGGGGCGACATCCGTCAGGGCCGAGCGGGCGGCGCCGTCCATCACGCCGCGGCCCCGCCCCGCACAGCCTTGCCCCGGGCCGCCGGGTCACTCCCGCGGGTCCACGTCCAGCCTGGGGCCAGGCCCGGCCGCTCGTGCCCCGCAGCCGCTGAGATGGGGGCCCGCCTGGCCTCCCCACCTGGACGGAGCCGCTCGGGCGCCGGGGCTGCAGAGTCCAGGAGGCGGCGGGCCCTGCTGACCACCACACCCAGGCGGAGGAACCGGGGTGCAGGGCCGTGGCCAGGCTTCATGGCCAGGAGGCAGCTCACTCAGCTGGGATCACCCCGGCACAGCCCTGGGGGCTTCCCGGGGCGCGGGCGGCGTGAAAAGCAGGAGCGTGGAGCCAGATCATCAGGGAGGCGGCCCACGGGGAGCAGGCCCGGCCGTCCCCAGCGCTGACCGCTTGACCCCAGCAGCAGGGCAGGAGCTGGCCCCCGGGAGACCCCAGCCCTCCTGGCAGGCAGGGGAGGGCCAGGGAGATGGATCCCCGGGGGGAGCCAAGATGGGGACTCACCGGGCCCGGGGCGGGGAGTCAGACCCAGAGGCTGTCCCCCAAGGGGGCAGCCCAGAACCCAAACAGAATCGGGGCACAGCCAGAAACGCCCCAGGGCGCCGGTGGCACCCCCACGTGCCTGGTGTCCCTGCAGCCCCCAGAGGGACGGCCGCCTGGAATAGCCCCTCAGCGGGAGGCAGCTGGCTGAGCCTGTCCTGGGGCCGCAGCTCAGCAGCCGGACACGGGCCCTGCCCCCCGGAGAGACGGGTGTGGGGCTCAGCCCAGGGCTGGGGCGCCACAGGCCAGGGGCCCTGCTTCTCCCTGCAGACCCCGCGTGCCCCCAGAATCTGTCCTGCCCCTCACAGATGCCTCCCGGAGGACGCGCAGCCCCCGGCGCCTCTGCCCGCACCCCGGCCGGCCTGCCCAAGCAGCAGCGCAGGGACGAGGGCCTGGCCGCTGCGGCCCGCTCCCCTCGCCGCCGGAGACGCTGACCGGGTGGTCGCCAGAAGGCAGCCCGCCCTGAGCCTCCGCGGCCACCGGCAGGTGATTTCAGTTCAAATTGATGAAAATAAACAGTGAAGCGGCAGCCCAGGGGGTCCTGGGCTGCTCAGCAGCCGCCGAGGCCGGTGCCTGTGCAGGGGCAGATGCGGGCGCCCGCCCGGCGGGCCACTCCAGGGCGGGGCTGGGGCCTGCACCACCTGGGCAGGCTGGGCAGCGGCCGCCCATCCCCCAGGGCCCTGCACACAGTAGGCCTCAATGAGTGTCCTTGTTTGCGACTGGCACAGCACGTGAGTAGAGGTGAGGGGCCGGTCAGGGAGGGCTTCCTGGAGGAAGTGGCGTGTCAGGCGGCGAGCGGGCGAGCCAGCGGGCAGGATGGCGGAGGGCCGGGTCGGAGACCAGCACCGAGCTCGCGGCGGGGCCCCAGGTCCAGGGCCGCCGGCCAAGGGGCACACGGAGCCGAGCGCCCTCCGCACGCCCCGCTCCTCCCGCAAAGCCTCCGGGAGGCTGGAGGCGGAAACCCCCGCTGGGGGCCGGGGCCGGGGGCGGCTCCCTGCAGGTCCGGTGGTCCAGCCGCTCCCCGGCCCCGGCCCGAGAGCCCCGCCGGCCCGACTCCCGGTCTCACCTGAACCCGGTGACCGCGCCCGCAGCGGGAAGGAGCACACAGTGCGCGGCAGAAAGTCCCTGCCTGGTGTTGTGTTTTTTATTTAATTTTCCAACGAACACGCTCTTTTATCATCCCAAACCGTGAAAGTAAATTAAGAAGAAATGGGTTTCTTTCAATTAGGCGCCGCGTTGCTTTGAGTAACTGCCTATAATTCTATTTAATGAAAAAATAAAATCATTATTCCACGTCCCCTGCCCTGTCACAGGCCCACAGACGGGCTCCATTAGCGTGCACCGTAGATTTATTTAATTAGAAAAATATTTTGTTTTCTCTGATTCTTTGGGAAAAGGGAAAAAAAACCTCCAGGCACAAAATTAATCAAATCTGTTACCTGGTTAATGCCCCGCGCGGGCACCTCGCCACCCGCGCCGGTTCCGCCCTGATTTCCACCACGTTGGACGCGCGCCCGAGCGCTGCCCGCCTCCCTGGCTGCGTCTGCCGCCTCGGATGCCAAGGCCGGCGGCCGGGAGGGGGACCCCGTGGCGGGCGGGAGGGGCGCGGGCCGGGCGGGCCGGGAGGGGGACCCCGTGGAGGGCGGGAGGGGCACACGTGCTGCTCGTTACCGCGGCCGCGGGCGGCTGGGCCCGACACTCCCGCCCTCCGGAAGGGGTCCCGGGACCCGCCGCAGCCTCGGTGCCCCCACCGGCCCCTGGGGCGTGTGCTTGAGGCCATGGGGCTCCCTGAGACAGGCACCGTGGGCCTGGGGGAGCCGCTGGGGGCCCAGCTGGGGTGCTGACATGATTCGGGTTCATCGTGGGGTGCCGTGGGGTGCCGGTGGATGGAGCTGGCTCCTCCTGCCCTCCTGGCCTGGGCGCGGGGCACCCGGTGACGCGGAGGACGGCCGCAGCCGGGCAGGACGGCCAGGAGAGGCAGGAGGTGACGGCCCGGCCACCGTTTCCCTCTCAGGCCCCACGGGAAGCTCTCGGCAGGAGCCGGGCCCTCGGGTGGAGGCTGGAGCCCCCCACCCACCGCGGGGGGCAGGGGCTGGGAGCCGCTCCGAGGAGCCTGGGGCGGCGGGACCTGCCGGCGCTCAGCCCCGCTCGGGGCCATGCGGTGCCCCTTCAGGACGCGCCTGTGCCAACACCGGCGGCCACGCGACCTCTGTGGACGACACCAGGTCCCGCGGCGGCCGTTCGGCACCCCGTGAGCCGGCCCCTGAGCCCCTGCCCTTGAGGGACGCTGGGGCCGGCTCCCACGCTCGACCCATGGCCGCAGCCTGCCGAGGCCACTCCCAAGGCCCCCCAAACCCCAGGTCCTGCTAGAGACAGGAAGCGGGAGGTCAGTGGTTTCTGGGCTGAGGTCAGGCCAGGTGCCGGCCTCTCCGGCCAGCCTGGACGCAGGGCAGGACAGGAGAACCGCTGTCCCCAGCACAGCACTGAGTCTCTGGGCACTGGCTGGCCCCCGCTGCCCCCACCAGAGGCCCTGACTGCCGCCCCCAGGTTCAAACGGTCCTGCCAGAGGAGGGGTGTGGGGCGCAGGACAGGAAACTGTGGCTATGCCTCAGCCTTGGGGACCCCAAACCTGCGTGCACCCCAGGCCTCCAGCAGCTCAAGGGCAGGCCCTGACCATTGCCCTCTGCAGGGCTCAGGTCTCCCCAGCTGACCTAAGGGGGCGTCCACGCCGGCCTAAGGCCATGAGCACTGCGGGCGGCCAGGTTGCCAGGCGACCTCCCTGCTGGTCTCCACAGTCCACAGGCCAGGCTGGGCCGGGCCAGCCCCACAGGTGTGTGGGGGGTGGTGGGAGGGGGCAGCAGAGGCACCGCAAAGCTGCAAAGCTGGGACCAGCCCGGGGCATGTGCTCACTAGTCCATGCACATGGCACACGCAGCACACACGGGCACACATGTGCGCGCACGGCCCCTGCCCAGGCTCAGCAGAGACCGCAGGAGAGCACCCCCGCCCGCGGCCATTGGAGGGGGCCTGTAGGGACAGCTGCCCGCCTTGCCCCTGCTGTGGCCTCAGAAACCTACAGAGCCTTCCCGTCTGGCACCTGGGCAGGCACCCTGCCGGGCTCCCCTGGCGCCCACGGCCCTGACCCTGCAGCTGGGAGGGCGGCCCGCGCACACCTCGGGAGGAACGGCCAGCCCACGGGGCCTGGGCCTCGCCTGCTTGGACCACACGCGCATACCCCAGGGACCAGAGGGCGCCCCTCCCAGGAGACCCAGCGCACTCAGCAGCCTGGCGGGCGTGGGCGCAGGCGAGGGGGGTGGGCAGCCCAGCGGCCTGGACCTCACAGGCCCCTGCACCCCCCCAGACGCTCTCCCAGAGCAGACCGTGGCGGGCCCAGGGCCTCCTGACCCCGGCCCAGGCAGCCACCCTGCGTGTCCCAGGGTAGCCCCGAGTCCAAGGCCGCCTCAGGCAGCAGGGACACGCGCTCCGCCCACTAGCACCACCAGAAACCCGGGCACGTCCAGGGAGGCGGCAGCCCGGCCCCAGGGGTCAGGGCCCGCTCTCCCGCCGCCGCCCGGCAGCTCCCTGCGTGGTCCCAAGCGCCGTGTCCGCGTGTAGTCAGCTCGGCGGCGGCCCCCAGCGATGCCTGGGCGCCAAGCCTGGCACCTGCAACATGTCGCCTCACCTGCCGCTAGTCAGGGGGCTCCAGAGAGGGGGGACTGGACAGATGGACAGAGTGCACCCCGGGGACAAGGGACGTCGCTGTCACAGACGCGCCCGCAGGACACCCACACGGAGACAGCGGCTCCCCCAGCCTGCACCCCCGGGCCACCGCCGGAGCGAGCCCCTGCCTGCCGCCTGGGGTCCCAGCCCCAGCACCCCGGCCCGGCCCGGCATGGACACGGCCCACCCCTGACACGGCCCACCCCTGACACGCCCACCCCGGAGGACTCGGCCCACCCCAGAGGACACGGGCACCAGCGCAGCCCAGCCCAGCCCTGCGCCTCCCCGGCACCGGCGAGCGCGGCCTCTGTGTGGAGCAGGAGCGCCCTCTGCTGGCGGCCACGCACAATGGCCACGGGGAGAGGCCCCGGCCACCGGGTCCGCCGGCCCCTGGAGCAGCGGGCGCTGGGCTGCTGGGAGCCAGGAGGGCAGAGCCCCCAGACCCGCGGCCTGCAGGAGTCTTGCCAGCCTGGCTGGTGCAGCCCGGGAGCTGCCCGCCCTGAGGGCGTGCAGGAGCCCCGGGCCCTGCGGTGGTGCTTGTGACGGGCTGGGGAGACCCCGGCAGGAGGCAGGTCTGAGCCAGTGTCCCCCGCCTGGTTCTGAGCCACGAGGGCCTCAAGCTTCTGGGCACCGAAGGGCTGGGGTCTCTGCTGTGCTGGCCAACAGGAGGCCCGGCACCGAACCCCACTCCCAGAAGCCTGCCTCCCAGCCGGGCCTGGGCCTGCCGTTCTGAGAGCCGCGGCCTGGAGCACGGGCCGGGCAGCCGCCCGCTGCAGTTAAAATCCAAATCTTCTTTACATCGTGAGTCAGAATCAGCGACTCAAGGACTCGGTTTACACAAAAAGCCAAACCCGCACGGAGCCCCCCAAGTCCAGGAGCCAGGGCTCGCCGCGCACCCAGGCCCAGCTCCAGGCCAAAGCGCCTCCTGTGGCCTCAGCGTCTGGTCCCAGAGACCCCGCCCCTCCTCGCAGGGGTGTCACCTGCCTCCCCAGAGCTGGCGTCCACTCCACAGCCACGGCCCCAGGCGCCCGCGGGACGCCCGGGAACAGGCTCGGCCGGCCCGCTGGACAGTGAGGCCCGGGGGAGTGAGCGGAGGTCCCCAGCCGGCGCCAGGTGGCACTTGGGCAAGCTACTCGTTTCTTTTTCTAAATGAAATGTGGCACCTTTGAGAGGACCCCCCGCTGCAGGCCCCGGGCAGCACGCAGGGCCGCCTGTGGCCCGGGGCTCACTGGCCGTCACGGCCTGAGGACACGAGAGCAAGGCCCCAGTGGGCGCCTGCCGGACCCCCAGGCCCCTGAGCACCCCGGGGCTGGCAAGCTCCCAGGCCAGCGGAGGGGGCAGCCAGGCGCTGGGGGCCAGCAGCTGCCCAGGCCTCGCTGCCCGCCAAGGCCCCGGTCCTCACCGGGGGAGCCCCGCTCTCCCTGCGCGCGGTTCCGGGTCTGGATGGAAGCATCTTATTTCCGTTCAAACCCTTCCGTGGTCGATAAATCTCCCCAGCCCTGGATAAATCACTCTTGTTAATTCTAATAAATTAAAATGATTAATTTAGAAAATCTTCAAACTCGCCTAAAATTCCAAAAACGCTCCCCAACTCGGTGGAGACATCTTGTCCACTCAGCGGAAAATGGCCGGTCATGTGGCTTCGTTACTAAACTTGGCCGTGGAGCCGGGGTGGGGGGCGCACGGGCCTCCGCGGCCCCAGAGGGAGGGCGGGCGCCGGGCAGGGCCAGACCGGGGCCGGGGCGGGCTGGATGGGGGGGGGAGGCCGGGGCAGTGGGACGGGAGGCAGCGGCTCAGGAGGGACAGTGCATACGGGGTGCAGAGGTGTGGGGGAGCCGAATTTCCTGCCTGGCCGCCCTCGTGTCCCCCACTCACCAGCTCTGGGGCTGGGCCAGCAGCCGGGAGCCAGGCCCTTGCGTGTCCCCGAGCCACGCCCACCAGGACAGCCGCCTCCCGTGGCCTCCGCACCCAGCACCCCGCCCCAGCGCCCCCTAACCCAGTGCCTCCGCCCAGCCCAGCGGCTTCAACAGCAGGAGGCTCTGTGTCCGCCTCTGGGAGCCCTGACGCCCTTACGCTGGCCTGATGCCATGGTCAGGACCCCCCCGAGCGCCAGCCTGGGGCCACAGGTCATGCCCTGTCCTGCCGGCGGGGCTCCCTAAGGCCCTCGGCCTCGACCCACTGTCCCTCCAAGCGGCCCCTGGCCTCCCTTGCCCCACACCCCCTCCTCCCTGCAGCGCCTCCCTCCTGCCCCCAGCGGGCACTGCTCCTGGCTGGCCTGGGCACGGCAGGCAGAGCCACACCCCCCGGAGAGGAGGCGCCTGGCCCAGAGCTGGAGCAGAGGCAGGAGGCTCACTGGCCAGCACAGGCCCTGCCTGGGCAGACTCCTGGGCTCAGCACCCCGTGTCCTTGTGGCTTCAGGGGGCACCTAGGGTGTGCGGGGGTGCTGGGGTGAGCGCAAGCGGAGGGCAGGCCCAGCCCAGGGCGAGTGAGCAGAGCCGGCGCCTGGCGGGGGGGCTCCGGCCGGGGAGGGGCAGGCACCGCGGAGCTCCACGCTGGGGACAGAAGTGCCCTCCCTGGCCTCCTCCGTCGCCAGGTGGCCTTTGGGACAGCAGCCTGCCACCCGCCCACCCGCGCCCGCTGGCCCCCTGCAGCAGGACACCCCCGCCGGGACGTCCCCTCGCTGGGCCCTCCCGCAGCCCCTCGGCGTCAGCCCACCCATCCCTCCGCTCCCCCTGCCGCGGGGCCCTGGACGCAGCCTTCCCGGCCATCCTGACGGCACCGGCCACCCCGTCCCTCCATGGCCATGCCCCGGGCTCGCCCAGCCCAGCCCTGACTCTCCGCTGCCCTGTCCAGCCTGGTCGGCCCCACCCGGCCGCCTTCTCCGTCGGCGCTGCATCAGCCCAGGTGCTGCTCCCAGGGCGCCCCAGATGGTGCCGAGGCTGGACGTGCGCGAGGCCCCCGCGCCGGCCGCAGGAGGGCGGCGCCGCCCGACTTCATTAATCTCACCCCGCGCGGCGTCCCAGGGCACACGGTTCCTTGTAAAAATGATCTGGCGGCTAATTAGACTGTTTATAACTTGTTCCCCGATCGCTAATGATAATTAACATGCAAATTAGCTCCGGGAGGGGAGACTCGGGCCCGGCTCATTACCACGTTAATTACTGTTTGCATGCCTAAGCGCCCGGCCTAGGCGAGTAATGGGCAGCGTGGCCGCCACGCCGCCGCCCTCCGCAAAGTCATCCTGCCGCCCGCTCCGGGTGATGGATGGCGCCGCCCGCCCGCCGCCCCGGCAGGGGGAAGGGGCGAGGGCCGGAGGCTGGCAGGGCCCGCTCCCCGCTCCCGTCGGCGCGCGCCGCCCCGAGCCTGCGCTGACAGCTCTTGACGAACTCGGGGTGACCCGTGACTCCCGCGACCTTCCCCCTCCCTCCCTGCGCCCCAGGCGCTGCTGTGCAGTCCCGCCCGGACACCCCGGGACCCGTCAGCGGCAGAGGGGCGGGTGGTGGGGCCACTGCAGCAGAGACCGGCCAGCCGGGCCTCCCTCCGGAGGAAGAACGAGCGGAGGCCGAGGAGGTGCGGGGACGAGGCGCGGGCAGGGCGGAGGCCCTGGGCAGGGCCGGGCCGGGAGGGCCGGGTCTGGTGCAGCGGGGGCTGAGCGGATGACCAGGTGCCGGGAGATGGACGGGAGGGGCGAGTCCTGTGGGTGGAAGCTATCGTTTAGGGGAGCCCCAGAGGCCCCTGAGGGAACACAGAAGGGCTCCTGCTCCCCCCACCCCACCACGCTGCCGCACCAGCTGCACCCGGGCGGACACGCCCACGCCAGGTGCGCAGGCCTCCTGCTGCATTATTGATGGGGCGCGGGGGAGAGCAGGTGCGGCCCCACCCCCGCCAGGCCTGCAGGAAGCCCAGCCCCCAGGGGAGGGTCAGGCACCCGCAGCCCCCCTGGCCGCCCAGACCGGAGGCTGAGAGTCCACGGTGCCTGCGGCTCCTGCCCGAACCCACCTGCCGTGGCCACGGTGAGTCTGGGCCTGGGCAGGACGGTCAGGGCCCAGGAGGCCGAGCCCGGGGCAGGGGCACCGGGTGGGCCCAGCCCCCCTCCGACAGCACCGGGGCGACACGAGGTGCTGGGTGGCCACTGGGTTCAGAGAAATGGCCAGTCACGCCTGGCTCCTGGTAGAAGGGAGGGGAAGGGACGCACCCCAACAGAGCCAGAGCACAGGGCCACCCTTCTGGGGAGCCAGACGCAGTCATGGCTGTAGCTGAGGGGCCTTCCCTGCGGAGAGCCAACAGGTCTGCCTTTCCAGACGGGGCACCTGGGGGGAAGGGAAGGTGGGGTCCCCAGGGGGGCTGAGCCCTCCCGCCCCCACATAGGAGACAAGGCCAGCCAGCGGAGGTCAGGGTCTCCAAAGGCCCCTGGGTCTGCCCGCTGGGGGCAGCTCAGACACTGGGGCTCAGAATTCAGCCCCTACCCTCGTCCTGAGTCACTGGGGTGGGGGCGGGGGAGCTGGGCGCTGCAGGCAGAGGGCGTGGCAGAGCAGGTTCCGACCCGCCTCCTGGCCTCTGGGCCTTCACTGGGGTAAGGCCTGACCTTGGGAGCCCTGGGGTCATCTAGAGAGAGGTACCGGAGTGGCCTAAGACACACCCGCTGGCCCTCCTGAACCTCCTAGCGGCCAGACACCCCCGGTGGCTGGCTGCTGACTCAGACAGGCCCGGCGAGCCTGGCCCTGGGGGCGCGCTCACTGCTCTCCACCTCCGCGGCAAGGACTTGGGGGGCCTGGCCCAACCCCCATGCTGGAGGGAGAAGCCGCAGACCCGAGGTGAACCCCACGGCCCACACCAGTCATCCCCGTTCCTGAACGACTTCCTGCTCCTGCTTCTACCTAAGAAAGTTCTAGTAACAGGATGTTTCCAGCGGGTGGGTCTTGGTCCCGGAGTCAGGGTGCAGCTGGGGCAGCACCCACAGCAGGGCCCACCTGCTCCCACTGGGCCAAGGCCTGACCGCCCTCGTCCCTCAGGACAGGCACCCCCTGGCCTTGGGGATCCGCATGGGGGCTGGTGGTGTGCCCCACCCTCCACAACACTCTGTCAGACCTGGCCACACCTGGGGGCTACTGGGCAGGGACACCAGCAAGCGGGAGCAGCAGCCCCTGGGGGTAAGAACTCCCTTGCCCCCTATTCTCGTGGGGTTACCCTGCCCCAGGGGCTGTGTCTGGTGCAGGCACCCCAAGTGCAGACTGCCTGGACCCAGCCGCCCGCCAGAACCAAACCATCCCCCTCAATCCATGGGTGTGTCCCCAGCTGCCCAGGGGCCGCCCGTCCATCTCTGGGGGTCCTGGCAGCTGGGTGGGGCCAAGGGCAGATGCCCCAGACATGCAGAGTGTCCTCTCGGCGCCCCACAGGAAGCTGCTGCCTCAAGTCCAGCTGCCACATGCAGCCGAGCAGCTCATCCCTGCCGCGCTGCGGCCTGACCCCCCCACACCCCGCAGCAGCAAGCGGCCCCGCAGCCGGGGCAGCCCCCGGCCGGACTCGGGGCTCAGCTGCCAGCGCCCGAGGGCCCGCGGTGCCAGTGCCGCCAGCTGGGGGCCCGTCAGAGCTCCAGGCCCCGGGTCCGCGCCGCAGCCGCAGACAGGCGCTCCATCACGCTCCCCTAATGGGGTCATTAGATGGAAGTGATCAAATCAATGGGAAATCTCTTAATCAACTCCCCGCTGCGCCCGCGGCAGCCGCTGCGCCTCGGTGAAGGTCAAGGCGCGCAAGGTCGGGCCAGGAGCAGGGCGGGCGCCTGCTGCCCACGCACCGCAGACCCGAGCCGACTCCCCGTGGGCCTCAGGCCACCCCCCAGGGTGCCCGGGCCCAGGAAGGACCCCTCAGCACCCCTCGCCGCTGGGAGCTGCGCCTGTGCCCTGAGTGTGGGGGGGCACGGTGTGCGGGCCCTTGGGGCGCCCGGGGCCTTGCACTGGGAGGGGCCTTCAGAGCAAGCCTGTCTCTCCAGGGGTCACTCACCTCTCCCCGGGAGCCCCAGGGCCAGGATGAGCGTGGCCACCCCCATGTACGCCCCACCTGGCTCCTGCCACCCCCCACTATGGCCACCGGGGAGGGGTCACCCGTGCTGTGGCCCCACCACACCCCAACCCCAGCCGAGATGGGGGAGGCCAGCAAGGTCCTTAGAGCCGCCCCCTCTGTGCAGGACAGGCTGCCCGGCGGGAGGGCCGCGGGTGTCGGGGCGGGAGGGCGCGGATGTGGGGGCCAGGCACACCTGTCCGCGGGGAGCAACCCGTGGGCACAGGGTCCTCCGAGGGGGCGTGGGGCGCCGGGGCGTCTCCCCAGCAGCCTGCAGCAGGAGGGCGCCAGTGGGGAGAGACCTAGGCAGCCTGCTCCGGGTGCTGAGGGTGAGGGCTCGGGGTCCAGGCCGCCCCCTCCTTCCTCCCCCCGGAGAATGAGGCGCCCTGGAGCGGGGCAGCCGCGCCCTCCTGCGCTCCCGCCTGGGCCCGCGCGGGGGCGCCCCCGAGCACCCCACCCCGTGTTGACGCGCTCCCGGGAGACCAGCCAGCAGGGCGCGGGGAGGCAGCTGGAGCCGCTGGCACCTTCCCTCGGGTGCGTGAGCGCGTGTGGGGGTGGGTGTCTGTGTTGGGGGGCATTTGTGGGGCGGGGGCACCTTTGCGAGCCCTGTGGGACCCCGGAGAGAAAGAGCCGCGGGCTGCTAGTTCTCTGGGAAGGTTTGGGGAGAAGGCGGGGCGCGGCAGGGGGAGTCCCCAGCCCCGGCCACCCCCAGGCAGATGCCCCTCACCACCCAGCACCCCGCCCGCCCCTGCACTGTCTGGTGGGCCGTGGGCAGAGGGGGAGGCGCCCTGACCACTCAGATGGCCCAGCTCCCGCCGCCCAGGGGTCTGGTGCCCGCAGCAGCCACTGCTGAGCAGGGGAGGGCCGGGGCCCCACCCTGCGGAGGAGGAAGCTGAGGCCCAGAGGCCACACCCCAGCCCCACTGGGCGGCCTGCTGAGCAAGCTCCAGGGGGCCCCTCGCTGCTGCGTTCGCCCCAGCCACCCGTGGGGTCCGCCCTGCCCTGACACCAGCCTGGGTGGGGAGGGGCGGGAGGCCCTGGGTAACAGGCGGCGGGGCGACCCGGAGGGTGGGGGGCTGGCTGCCCGCGAGCGCTGACACGCTGCCCCCACCCAGGTGGCCACGAGGACCGGACACGGACCGTGCGGGGAGCCGGCGTGATGTCCGCCCAGGAGCTCGTTGCCTGCCTCTGCCGGGAGGGGGACCAGCACCTGGCCCTGGGGGAGCCCCCGCTGGCCACCGCCTTCTACCTGGCGGCCTTCAGCTGCCACGGCCCCTCGGCGGTGCGGCGCGTGCGCGCGGCCTTGGCGGAGGCCCGGGGCGCGCCCGTGGTGGCCACCCTGGAGGCCTGGTGCCGCGGGGACGGCCAGATCCCGGCCATCCACTGGGACGGCATGGCGGTGGTGTCGCTGACCGGGGCGCAGGCCTCCGCCTTCCTCGCCACCCTCTGCCCGGACCACCCGGCCGCGGCCCTGCATTCCCTGGCCGGCCTGCTGGCCCGCGGGCGCCACAGCGAGGTGGTGCGGCGCTGCTGCGCGCTGCTGGACGCCCGCTCCCGCCAGAGCCTGGAGCTGCGGCTGACCCGCGCGCTGGCCCGCGTGCTGTCCGGGGCGCAGGCGGCCGATGGCGTGGCTGACTACCTGCAGGCCTTCGCCACCAGCGCCCGGCGAGCCGTGGCCTTCATCCGCACCCACCAGCAGCCCTACCTCCCAGCGCTGGTCCGCGCCCTCCAGGACTACAGCTCGGGGCCAGGGGAGCCGGGGGCCGGTGCACGGGTCGGCGAGTGTCAGGCGCTCCTCACAGCCCTGGCTCCCGAGGGCACCTGGGGCGACGCCCGGCCCCCGCAGCTCTGCTCCACGCCGGCAGGTACGAGGACTGCCGGGCAGCCTGCAGCCGGGCGCTGGACACCCGCCCCGCCGGCGGCACACCCCAAGGTAGGAGAGCGGGCAGCCCCAGGCGCCAGACACAGTCCCTCCAGCCCGGAGGAGTTCTGCTCTTGGGGTCGGGGGCGGCCTGTGCTGGGGCTGGGGCTGGGGACCCCACAGTGACCAGGCAGGTCCCTGGCCTCACAGAGCTCCCAGAAAAGAAACACCGCCAGGCACTGCCCGAGCCGGTGGTCAGGGAAGGCTTCCTGGGATAGGAGGCACTTGAGCTGAGCCTGGAGGATTCCAGGCAGATGAAATCCAATGTGCCAGTCCCTGCGGGAGACAAGAGCTGGGTGTCCGGGCTACTGACCGGAGGGGAGTGGCTCCGGGACAGGGGTAGCTGCCAAGGGACTTTGGATTTTACGCTTGGAGCAGTGAGGAGCATGGAGGGCTCAAGCTGCAGGGAGGCCATCGGGGCACTTCTAAAGCTTCCTCTGGCTGTGGCTGCAAAACATGCCGTGGGGACAGCCCTCCGGCTGGTGCGGGCGGGCGGGGGCAGGTGCTGGTGCAGGTGGGCAGAGGACACCACCAGAGATGGTGCAGGCGGGCCGGGGAGCCCACCCAGAGCGGGGCCAGGCGGGAGGTGGGCTGGGCTGGGAGGTGGTCCTGGCAGTGGGGACCGGGCTGGGGTTTCTCGGATCTGGGCAGGGTCAGGGAGCGAGGAAGGGGGGGCGGGGCGGGGCGGGGCAGTACAAATGGCCACGTTGGCCGGACTCCGTGGTGGAGGGAGGGGCTTGGGGTGGGCAGGGAGAGTCCACCTGAGCCCACCTCCGGCAGCGGGGCTGCGGGGCTCGATGGGTGTCGGGCTCTAGACACACCCGGTTTGAGGGACGTGCCCTGCTGGTCCCCTTCTGGGTCCTCCTCCTGGTGGGCAGCCAGAGCACAGGAGCAGCCCCGGAGTGCCCCGACACCCCCAGAGCGCCCCGGCACTACACCCTGTGGTCGCCTCCTCGCTGAACCGCCGTGGGAACAATCACCCAGCACCGGCCGCCGGTGGGCGCCTCATTAGGTGCTGGACACGGGAGCGCTGCCCCCAGGGGTCCAGTTGGAGCACGGGGTTGGACTGTCCCGAGGAGGGGCTTGCGGGGCCAGGGGCCGGCTGTCATGGGGGAAGGGGGTGCAGGATAAGACTCCTGGGGAGGCAGCGCTCCCGGCCACTCATCATGCATTTAGAGGCGAGCCCCATTTCAGGGTTTGATGAGAACTGTTACTGACTCCGCTGCTGTCCCCACTGGTCACGGGGCTGCCACAGGAGCACGGAGTGTTTGTGGTGCCCAGGAGAGCATGCCGGCCGCCCCGCCCCGAAGGGGGAGCCGCAAAGAAGGCGGGAGGAGGGGGGTGTGGGATGCCTGGTGGCAGGAGGGGGCGTGAGGCAGCGTGCAACCAGCAAGGAGGCCGTGTGGGGTCCCCCCCATGCCTGAGGCTGCGGAGGACAGGCGCCCACCGCCGGGATGCCCGAGACAGTGGCCACGCAGCAAGGAGAGGCTGTGGCATGCATGGGCAGAGACGTGCTGGACAGGATCCCAAGAGCCCCGTGGAGGTACCAAGCATGGTCGCCAGGTCGAAGCTCGCCAGGTGCCGCGGCAGGTCTGGGAGGAGGTGGCAGGATGGGGAGGAGGCGCCCCACGTTAAAGGCCAGCGGAGGCCCCGGCAAAAGCTGGGACAGCTGTGGAGCCAGATGCTCGCCCGGGAGCCCGGCCAGCAGCCCACTGCCCTGCCTGGCCCCTGAGGGTGGCGCCTCCCGGCCCTGGCGTGGGGATCGCACGAGGGGCCGCGAGCAGGCTCATGAGCGCCGCTAACGAGCGTCTACTAGAGGCTTCCAGCATCAGGAGGGGCCTCTCGGGGCATTTTACCAGCAGCCCTTGCAAGCGCTGAACGGGTCCTGCCCTGTGTTGGAAAGTGGCCTGGCCCCCTGGGTGCGTCCCAGGAAAGGGCTGTGTCCAGCACCAGGCAGAAGAGCTGGAATCCAATCTCCAGGGCGTCAGCGTCCAGGCCCAAAGGCTGGTCCGCCCAGTGCCAGACCCAGCGTCTCCCACCCCTTCCAAGTTTATGGGGGGACGGCGGGGTCCAGCTGTCACAGCCCCCTACACGGGTTTCGTGACCTCGAGCCTTGCCAGGACCTGCAAGAATCGGAAGTGACGTCATATGGCTCCAGGAGGCCCTGCAGGTCCCCCTTCCTCCTCCCCGGACAGTCTCAGAAGCTGGGCCAGTGAGGGACAGAGCGCCCAGGGTCCTCAGCCACGGCCAACACCAGCCCAGACGTGGCAGCGGGGTCCTTCCGGCCCCTCCCAGTGGAGCACCAGACGGCTGCAGCCAGGAGTGGCCCACAGAGGACCAGCAGCCAGCCCGGCCCCAAGTGAAAGGGGACTCATGAGCCGCTTAAAATGCATGTTGCGTCAAGCCACGAGGTTTCGCGGTGGCTTCTGGTCACCGATAGTTCACAGGCGCACATTTAACTGAGCCAAAGCATCAGTTTTGAAGCATGTTTTAGCCAAAACTGAGCTAAATAATGCAGGTCTTATCGTTTTATGTGTCTGTGGTAATACGCGTGATGGAAGACTAGATCTCATCGCAGTCTGCACAGCTTTTTTGATAAGATTTAACATTCCTAAAATTTAAACAACCGAGAAGAAGAAGGGAACAGGCTTAATTGAAAAAGACTGTTTCTGTCCAAAATGCACCCAAAATACCACGCTTGATGATTTTTTTGGGAATCTTCCATTTAACCGCAAGAATGAAGAGGGTCTCGCTCTCCCTTGATTCATCGCGGCACCAGAAGTCCCGGCCGGCGCAGCCCGACGGGAAGCGTAGACTAGGAAGACAGAAACGCGCGTGTCCGGGTTCCGGCGACACGGGAGCGACACGACGCCACCAGAGGCAGCAGCCGAGCACGGGCCCCGAGGGGACTTCACAGGAGGCACAAAAAGTGTTTCTGTGTAGAGGCAACAGCAACCAATACGATAACTTTATGGCTTAAATACATGCACTTGCCGCAGCGACAGAACAAAACTGATCTCAAAGAATCGTGTGGTTGCAGGGCCACCCCGGTATAAAACGGGCTGCCTGACGGCGGGTGCTCGCCCGTGCGCTGAAGGGGACTCGCACCGCAGGCCCACACTAAAGCTTGATCAAAGGATTATTTACAAGGAAAGGGGAAATGAGGAAATGGATAACTCAGGGAGAAAACGAGGGAGATCAATTCTGACATGCCTCCTACCCGTTCCGCTGACCTGGATCCCAAATGACCCGCCGAGACCGGGTGCTGCCCGGCCAGGAGAGAGCGAGCCCCACACGCACGGCTGGTTATGTTCCCAGACAGAAAGACACGGCCGCTGAACCCCGCCCCAGCTCCTCGCAGCTCTCCCTTGGGGGATGCTGGGATCTGCAGTCCCCGGTGTCTGGGTGGAGTCGGGGTGGGGGCCACAAAGCCTGTGTGGGGTTCGCTCGGGACATCCTCTCCCCCGACAATGTGACTTTAGGGAGAAAATTATACAAACAAGTGAAAAGACACTGAAGAATTCCTATGTTAATGGAGACGTGTTCGATGTCCAGTGTTGGAAAGATTTGCTGTTGGGGAAGAGCACAGAGCCAACAACAGACAGGGCAGGAGGGGGGGTGGGGGGAGAGGAATTTGCTCGGCCAGTTGAATTGAAACAGACTATACTGATCCGTCCAGAAGGTTATTGGCTTGAAAAACAAAGGAAAAGACCAACCAAGGACTTAGAGAGGCCAGGAACAGACCCAGCTGCCCCTGGCTCTCAGCAGGGGAGTGAGGGCATTGCAAACCCACGGGAAAAGACAGGGGCACTCCCCGCGGGCGGAGCGGATTCCCTATGTCAACCTTGCAAAAAGGTAGAATTCCACGGGAGTAACCATCTGTGTTTTCTCTTTGGAAAAAGGCTGCTCATTTCTAAGGAAAATATAAGAAAATCTTTAAGACGCATGTTCAGCTTCTTAAGATACAAAAACCAGAAATAATAAAGGAAATGCTGATACGGGCGATGGGATTAAAAGCTCAGGCTCTCTGTCTTGTCCAGAATGATAGAAAACGAAAGCACAGTCCACAACAGAGAAAAAATATTTGCAAAATATATAATGGGCAAATCAGTACCCAGAGTATTTAAAGAATTCCTACATATCAATAAGGGGGGAAACCAACACAGCATTGGCAAAGCCTTTCCCCAAAGAGAAAACACAGATGGTTAATACACATGTGAAAAATGTTCACCATCAGGTAATGAGACGCTTGCCAATTCAAGCAATGAAATACCACTCTCCACCCACCAGATTGGCAAAAGGGGGTGAGGGGGGAGAAAGCTTTTCTTTAATAAATGGGCCTCACTAGTAATCAGGAAAATGAAAATTGAACCTATAATGGGATAGCACTTTATATCCCGCCAGATTGTCAAAATGTTTTAATCTAACAATAGAAGATTCTGCTCCCGGTAGTGGCAGGGGAGCGGGACTAGGCCATGTGCTCCACAGACAATATAAGCGTGGATGAAATATAAAATGTAAACATTTGGCAACCGAATAGTGACCCAATGCAGGCAGAAAGTGGAAACGGGCCCTTGAAAGATGCTGCTGCACACGCCGAAATGCGCAGAATTGCCACTTTCTGCCTGATGAATCACCTCAGTCCACACTTTGTCCATGAAAACAGAAAGCCGGAGATGTCACAGACAGAATTCAGGGGTGAGGAAAGTGAATGGAAAGTTAGAAGGGATATTCTGGAAAGCAGGGAGCCACCTCCAGGGGAGGGGGGTTGAGACCCAAACTCCATGTATTAAATCAACTTGAATCCTTGAATGGTCACCCAACTGCACATACCTGAGAGAGACAGGGAGCCTGGAAATGCAGCAGGTAGCTATTGCAGGAACTCAGCGGAGGTTTCAGCTGTTGCCACCAAAGAAGAGACAAAGACTGAATTTGATCTTGGTCCCTTTAAATGCCTGATTAAATAAAATGCATCCTCTTCTGGGGAACATATCTCAACCCAGAGTCTGTACAAAGAATTAACCAGATGTGCAAATAAAAAAGGACTAGACATGCAAAGAAACAGAAACTTAGAATGTGAAACAGAAATAAAAAACAAGCTCAAGATAATGCAGATACTAAAATTACGAGGACTTTAAAGGAACTATTATAAATATAGGCAAGGGCTAGTGTAAAATACAATCATAATGAATGGACACATGTGAAATCTCAACAGAAAAATGAAAACTTTTAAAAACAAATGGAAATTCTAGCCTTAAACATCAGAATAAATTAAATGGAAACTCCATAGAATATCGGAGACAACGAAAGAGTAAATTTGAAGAGGAAAAGAAAATTAGCCGATATGAAGAACAGAAGGAAAATGCCAGGGCCTTGGTGTCTGTGGGACAACGTCACGGCGCTTAATGGAAGCTCAGAAGGAGAGTCCACCCCTGTCCCCCACCCAGGCACCCAAGGGCCCCCGAGCTACTGCAAAAGCCAGTGACAGGTCAGGATGAGAATGGACAGGAAGCACCCGAGCGTGTCTCTAGGCCTGGCCTGGGGGACCGGCGGGTGGGGAGAGCTGGTGCCAGGGGCTTCCTGACGGGCTCAGCCCTGACGCGCCACTCACCCGCCACGACAGCAGGGCAGGGAGGCAGCATCTGCCCTCCAGACAGGGGTCTGGCCTCTCCCGTCTCAGTGAGACGATTGCTGGTGCTGAGGCCTACGCTGGACTCCTGGCACAAGCACTCACGTGAAGGCTGGGAGACAGGAGCCTCAGCCCCGACCGGCCAGCGGAGCCCAGGAGAGGACTGGATCCTGACACCATCATTAAAAGAAGGGGGGGGAGGGCTTAATTAAATGTCCCTGTTGGCTGAACTTTGGGCCTGTGCAGAGTGAGGGGGCTCCCTGAGGGGCACGCAGGCACTGCCCCCCTTGGCTGTTACCACTGCACCCTCTTGTCGCTCGCTGGCCTCGGCCTCCGGGCACTCATCTTAAAGATGCCAGCACCTGGGAGACCCCGAGGGCCCATGCGTGAGCCCAAGGGCTTCGGCATCCACAGCACCGGCGGGCCGGCTCCACAAGGCTTCCCCGACGCCGGTCTCTTTCCCCAGGCGAGCATCTGGCCGTGCTGCTGGTCACCCGCGCGGCCGCAGCCTTCTTCCTGGAGAGCGGGGTGCACGACGTGCTGCGGGACCTGCTCGAGGCCTTCCGCCAGTGTCCCTCCGGGGCGCGGAGGCAGCTGCAGGCCGTGCTCTCCGCCGGGGACCTGGCACGCTTGCGAGCCCAAGCGCAGGAGGCCGTGGACTCCGGCTTCGCGGGCTTCCAGGAGGTCGTGCGGCGCCGCCCAGAGCTCCGCGAGGACTCGGGCCGCGAGCTGCTGGCCCCAGTGAACCAGGCGCTCCGTGTCCTGCTGCGCGTGGCCCCACCCGGGGCGCGGCCGGCCCTGGGCGCCCGCCTGGCCGAGTGCCTGCTGCTGGGTGGGAAGGCGGCCACTGCCCAAGCGCTATGCGAGCGCCTGCTGCGGCCCGCGCGCCCCGCCGGCCCGGGGGGAGACGACGCCGGGAGCCTCGCGCCCCTCCTGGCCCTGCGCGGGTTCTGCGCGCTGCACACTGGCGACACGCAGCGCGCCCGGGAGGACTTCCAGGAGGTGGTGGAGCGGGGCCCGCCGCATGCCAACAGCTGCGTGCGGGCACTGTGCGGCCGAGGCCTGCTGCGGGTGCTGGCGGGCAGCGCGTTCCTGGGCGCGCTGGACTATGTCACCGCCTGCCGGCTGCACCCCGAGGACACCCTGCTGGTTGCCAAGGCCTACGTGCCCTGGAACCAGCGGGGCCTGCTGCTGACCGTGCTGCGGGAGGAGGGCCGCCGCATGCTGCAGCGGGGCGCCCCGGGACGCCGGAGCAAGGGGGCCCAGCGGGACCAGCCCGCCGCGCAGGAAGGGTAAGGCAGCTGCGCCCCCTGTGGGCTCGGAAAGGTCCCCGGTGTTTCGTCCTGTCTCACTGACGAGTGGAGAGTGCGGGGCGGCTGCCCCAGGGCCTGGTGGCAGATCAGCCCCGGAGCGCGGGGCCTGCCCACCGGTCAGACTAGGAAGTCCAGGAGGCTCTCGGCCAGCGCCCCCCTGCGCTGCCTTCTGGGCGTCTCTGTGGGCGAAGAGCAGCGGGAGGCGGGCCCTGTGCCCGGGTGCAGTCGACGCCCCTTCTCTGCCCCCTCGCGAAGGTCCCCGCGAGGTAGTCAGCCCATCCCGCACTCACGTCCCAGCGCTGCTCCTGGATTCTGGTTTCCTGGCCTTAGGGCAGAGACAGCGCTGCCTCCCCCAGGGGCCCCCCGCAGGCCCAGCTGCCACTTGCCCCAACCCCGAGGCCCAGTTTAGGCTCTCGGGCCCCCCCAACGGTGAGCCTCAGCCGTTGGACCTGCCTGCCAGGCTGCTGGGAGGGGCAGGAAGGCGTTTGAGCAAACTTAAAAGTGCTTGGTCAGGGCCCCCCTGGGGGGCTGTTTGGTGCCAGCACCCCCACACTTCCTCCCCCCTCCCACCCTGGCGCCGGCAAGGAGGGGCCTTAGCTCCTGCTGCTGCTCCTGCTGAGCTCCCTGGGCCCTGGCCCTCCCCTGGGGACACAGCCACCCGCCCTGGGCCCCAGAGCACCCCGAGTGCAGCCAGCCTGTCATCCTGCTCTACACCCCAACTCTGCAAGCCAAACTTTTACCCCGCTTTCTGCAGAAAAAGAGTAGCTGACCAGCACAGCCTCCACCCTGAAAACACCTGCCTGGGGTGGGAGAGGGCCATGGGGGGCAGCTGTAGGCCTGGGCTGGGGGGCAGTGGTCCTCCCAGGAGGGGGAGCTCCCTGGGCTGGCGGGAAGCAAGCCACCAGCGCAGGCTCGGGGCAGGGCTCGCGGGAGGCCAGCCCCCCGGGCCAGTGGAAAGGGCGCAGGAAAGGGCTGACCGCCCCGTCCGCTCCCCCAGGGATGCCCGAGGCGTGCACCAGCTGGCCACGCTCCTCCTGGGCCTGGACGAGGAAGATGAGGCCTCCTGCCTCCTGGCGGCCGACGCCCTGTACCTCCTGGGCCGCCTGGCCGACGCCCACAGGACCCTGCTGGTGGCCCTGGCCCGCAGACCCCAGGCGGCCCCCGTGCTGGTGCGGCTGGCGCTGCTGCAGCTGGGCAGCGGCTTCTCCTACGACGCCGACCAGGTGAGGCGGCCCGGGCCGCGGCCAGGCCCGCGAGCCCCGACAGCGCCGTGCCCGAGACCCGGTTCCGGACGTTGGCGCAGCTCCCAGGCCCAGCCCCGCCCGGCCGCCTCCCGCAGGCCCTCGTCTCCCCATCTGGCCCGGTCCTCGGGCTGTCTGGGGAGCCTCCGGGCCAGCACCCCGGGCCAGCACGAGCCCCGCTGGAGGTGCTTTTGTTGTGTCCAGAAGAAAAAGGGCCGAGAACTTCCCAAACCTTCCACCAGACTAAGCGTGGCCTGGCCCTGCCCTGGAAGGGGGTGGTGGGGGGGCCTGTCCCCTCCCCTGCCGAGCCGCCTCCCCCGTGCTCCCAGGAGAACAGGCCTCCCCCGATGTATGGAGGGCCGGGGGCTGCACCTGGTCAGAGGCCATACTGGGGGGGCCTCAGCCATCAGCTCCCACTTCCCGTCCTGGGCTTGGTTCTGGGCGCCGCGCCCCAGGGTGCAATCGGGCGGCAGGACACCCCACTCGGACAGTGTCCACGGCCAGCGGCCAACAGGGGGCAGCATCGGGTCTTGGGGAGGACCCACCGGGTGAATATCGGGGTTCTGTCCACCTGGGCATGTCCCACCCCAAAGGCCAGCGGCGCCTCCCCCCCCCCCCCCAGCGCGCACCCCCCATGCGTCATGCTGTGACCCCCTGTCCTCGCCCTCCCGTTTGGGCTTCCTGTGGGCAGCTCTGGAGACGCCTCGACCAGCGTCAGGGAGTTGGCGCGCGGGGACAGCGCCCCACGCCCCACCCCGGCCCCCACCAAGCAGCAGGGGAGCAGCCCCCCCGCTGCGGCCCCCACCCTGCCAAGGGGGTGCGCTGCTGGCACAGGCAGCCCTGCCTGCTTTGAGCTAGGCCCCCCATCTAGCCCCCTGGCCCCCTTAACATCCCCCGCGAGCCGCGCCCACTCAGGACCTCCCCCACGGGCCACCCGCGCCCCGCCTCCACAGGCCACGCCCCCACGGCCTAGGGGGCCCCCTCCCTGCCCAACCCGAGGGGGATGGGGTGCACTGCTGGGCGCGGGGTGCCAGAGGAGCGCACTGTCTCCCCTCGCCCCGCAGCTGCTGAAGAAGGTGGTCCAGTCCGGGGACACGGCCTGCCTCGCGCCCACCCTCGACGTCTTCTGCCCCGAGGACCGGCAGCTGCTGCGCGGCCACTGCCACTCGCGCGCCCTGGCCATCCTGCGCGCGCGGCCGGCGGGGCCGGAGAGCGGGGCCCACACCAGGGAGGCCATCGCCTACCTCTCTCTGGCCATCTTTGCTGCAGGTGCTGCCCGCCGCCCCGGGCGCCACACCCTTGGGGGCAGGGACCCGCTGGTGGGCGGCGGGCCGGGGCCCCGGGCAGGGCTCGGCTGGGCATGTGTGCCCCACTGTGTGCCCCTCTGCTCTCCCAGGGCCCGGACTCCCTGGCCCAGGCGTCCAGGTGGCCTGCTCAAGCCTGCGGTGGGCCGGGCGGCCGCACCCTGGGCTGCAGCCCTCACACTGCGCCCCGAGGGCGGGCAGGGGTGCTAGGCCGCCTGCTCCCTCCACCCCAGGAGGCGAGTGCCAGCTCCCGGCAGCTTCCAAGAGCAGCAGAGCTTCTGTGGGTGTGCACCTGCCTGCTGCTGGCCCGGACCCCCCGCTCCCGCAGGCCCTCAGGAGCCTCAGAGCTGGGTTCCTGAGCCCCCTGGTCTAGGCACCCGCCCCCAGAAGAGGGACTCTCCAAAGGACCCACAGCGAGTTTCTAGGGTGCGAGGTGTTGGAAGTGCAACCTTGGGGTCAGAGTGCCAGGAGGGGCTGGGTGGCCCTAAGGGCCCTCACGCCCCGCTTCTAAGGTGGGGTGAGGGAGAACCCAGAGGGCTGAGAGCGAAGGCCACTCGTTTCACTGGGCGGGTGTGCCTGGTGCCCACAGGCCCTGGAGGGTTTCTCCCAGGACAGCAACTAGTTACCTAGCCAATTAATTATCTGGTTAATGAGCTGACTAAATACCCAGCTCACTAATCAGCTAACTATCTGACCTAGCCAGCTAACTAGCTGGTTAACTAGATAGTCAGCTAGTTGGTCAGCTGGTTAACTCTACTTTGGTAGCCAGTTAGCGAGTTAATTAGCTAGATAATTAGTTATTCACTTAGTCAAGCATATAACTAGCTAGCTAATCAGCTAGCCAAGTAGTTAGCTATATAACTAGTTATTCAGCTAGTTTGTCAGCTTGTGAACTAGTTAAGTAGCTAGTCAGCTCGGTAGCTTGTTAAATAGCTAGCGAGCTACTTGTTAACTAGTTAGCTAGTCAGTTTGTTAGTCAGCAAGTAAGTCACTAATCTACTGGTTTTTTGGCTAGTTAACTAGTTAGCCGAGTAATTAGCCTGTTACCTAAGTAGTCACCTAGATAACTAGTCAGCTTGTCAGAGAGTGCAGAGTTAGGAAATTATTCAACTATTTAACTGGTCAGCTAGTCAGCTGGTTAACTAGTTAGCCAGCTACTTGACTAGTCGCACAGCTAAATAACTAGTTAGCACATTAGCAGTTTGCTGGTGGGTTGCTAGCTAGTTAACTAGTCAGCTAGTTTTTTAGTTAGCTGCCCTCAGAAAGATTTCTGTGGTCAACACACTCATCAGGGAACCCTCCGGAGCCTGGGGGCCCGGCTGCTGCACGTGCAGGAACACCTGGCAGGGCAAACACCCCAGCCTCAGGCCGGTGACCTGCCCCCAGGCTCTGCTTTGGATCACCCAATAGATTCTTGTCAACTAGCTAGTCAGCTAGGTAACTAGCCAACTAATTAGCTATCCACTCACTAGTTAGCTAGATAACTAGTAGGTCACTAGTTATTTGGCATGTTGGCCAGTTACCCAGCTAGTTAACTAGCATTAACTAGTTGGGTAGCTAGCTAGCTAGTCAACTAATTAGTTGGCTAGTTAGTTAACCAATCAGTCAGCTGTTTAACTAGCTGGTCAGCTAGCTGGCTAGTCAGTCGCAGCGTGGGCACCGGGCAGGGCACAGTAAGTGCAGGTGAGGGCGGGAGGTGGCGCTGACCCGGCCCTGCCTCTAGGGAGCCAGGCGAGCGACAGCCTCCTGGCGCGCGCGCGCTGCTACGGGCTGCTGGGCCGGACGAAGACCGCCCTGTTCGACCTGGACCGCCTGCTGCAGGCCCAGCCGGGGCACGTGCCCGCGCTGTGTGGCCGCGCACTCCTGCGCCTGGCCCTGGACCAGCGGGAGGTAGTGGCACTTGCCCCCCGGCACTGGCAGGGGCAGGGCACGCTCGGGGTGGGGGGGGCACCCGGGAAAAAGGGGCCTGCCTTCCTCCTCACCCCCGAGGAGAGCAGCGGCCGGCCCTCCGTGTGAGCCCACGGAACCCCCCACCCCACGCTGGGCCGCGGACCCCCGGGGGTTCCCTTGCACCCAGAGACCCCGTCCCCCACCCCCCACCCCTGCCAGCAAGAGTGCGTGCGCCAGCCCTGGCCGCTGGGGCCTCCGTGAGTGCGACCCCGGCCGCCTCTTGGCCCCGCCCTGAGCTGTCCCCAGGGGCCTGAGGTCAGCAGGCAGCGGCAGGGCCAGAGCGGCGCTTTCCCAGAGCAGCCCGCCGGGGCCCCACAGCCAACCCGGCGAGGACCCTCCCCGAGCACAGCAGTGTCACCGCGCGTGAGTGAAGCTGGCCTCCTGCCGGCCTTGCTGGGCGGGGTGCGGCCCACGGGTGGCGGCCTGCCCGCGGTCTCGCTTCGCTCCAGGGCTGGCGCCTTAGCAGCGGAGGCGACCCAGGACAGCCCGGCTGCCGGTGAGCGGGGCGGGGCCGCCCCCGGAGTGGGGGCCGCTGCTGCGCCAGCCAGGCTTGCACCTGCGCCGGGGCCCTCCCCCAAGCCCTCCTGTGCTGGGCAGACCCCACGGTTCACAGGGACAAGCCCATTAATCAGAGATGGGGTTCAGCCAGGAGGGCGCTCCTGCTGAGGGGGTTCCCAGGACCTCCGAGGCACCGCAAACAGCCCCTCTGAGAGCCACCTCGGCAATGTCTCCTCCTGCCCCCCAGGGCCGAGGACACGAGGCAGGGTCCTCCTGTTGTCTGAGAGTCGGACGTGGGAGCAGGGGCTGTGCCACCTGATGCCCACCTGGAGCCACCCACGTGCCCCGCCCACCCCATGACGGGAGGCTCAGTGTGCGGAGCCCCGAGCCCGCCACCGGGTCCAGAGCCCCGACCCCAGCAGCGCCAGCAATCAAGCGACCCCTGAGCTGCCGTCAGCACCGGTTAAGCGGCATGGGAGGGAGTGCCCATTCGGGCTGTGGGTGGCCCCAGCGCCGGCCCACCACGGGGGCTCTGTGCGTGGCAGCTCTGTGCGTGCAGACCAGGGCAGTTTTTTTCCAGCGAAGGTAAACCAGCTGCTCTGGGGGGACCGCGGGCCTGCGCTGGGGCAGGAAGGGCCCAGGCCTGGCGTGGGGTCACGGAGACGGACCGTCTTTCCATCCACCCATCCCAGGGTGCGCTCCAGGCCCCACACTTGGCACTGGGGGGTGCTAAAAACAAAAATCTGGGTGATGTACACGGCACCCACCCTAGGCACGGCACACCAGCCCTGGGGAACTGCTTTCCCTGAGAGAAGGGAACCCCGTGGAGCCCCCCAGCACCGGGGCCTCCTGTAGCTGCACAAGGGGTGGGGCGTGGTCTCCGGGGTGGAGGCCGAGGCCGGAGTTCACAGGCAGCGGTAGCTGGACTGTGCGAGGAAGGACGCTGCCAGAGAGGAGCGCCGTGCAGAGGGCGCAGGAGTCTCCCCGGGGCCTGGGCTGCGCCTGCAGGCAGGTCTCGGGGTCCTGGTCTCGGGGCGGGGCTGCGCCTGCCGGCAGAGCCCCCCTGTGCTGAGGCTGAGGCTCCTCGGCGACCCAGGGGCAGGCAAGGTGGGGGGCACTGCAGCTGCGGCCCAGCCAGAGCAGAGAGAACTTTCCGGACACCTTGGAGGCTCAGGTGAGGCCGCACCCCAGCAAAGGCTGTCCCCTGAGACGACATTCAAAACCAGACGGACTTGCCCTGGCGAAGGACAAAACCAAATCTGGGAGGCCCAGAGCGACCCCTGGATTCAGCCGCCCACCCGCGGGGCGGCCCCCAGCCCCGGCAGCCCCCGCTCGGCCGCAAAGCAGCAGCTGCCGGATGCGAGCGGCCGCCGAGGAAGGGGAGCCCCGCGGAAGCAGGCCTTGAGGCGGCCCCGACGCGGCCCCGGCAGCCCCGACCAGCAGGCGGACGGCCGGGCGGACACGCCGTCGCGGCAGACAGACGCGCGCCGGGGGGCCGGAAGCTCCAGGGAGGCTGGCAGGGGCAGACTGCAGATTTCACGTGCGGCGCCACCGCGGACCGGACGCGGCCCAGGACGGTCAGCGCACCGTCGCCGGCCAGCAGCAGGAGCCTCCGGGCTGAGGAGCGCGGGCAGCGGTCCCACAACGTGAGGGCGCGCCGGCCGCAGACAGGCCCCGCGCGACCGGGGCCCAGAGGAGGGGGGGAGACGCCCGGTGCGTATGCGTGTGTGTGAGGGCGAGTGTGTGTGATGTGCATGAGAGTGTGTGTGTATGTGTATGAGTGTGAGTGTGTGCTGTGCGGTGCATGTGTGTGCGCGTGTGTGTGGTGTGCGAGTGTGTGGTGGGTGTGGGGGTGTAGGGGTGTGGGGGTGTGGGTGTGCATGTGGTGTGCATGATGTGTGTGGTGTGTGAGTGTGTGATGTGACTGTGAGTGTGAATGTGTGTGTGAGAGTGAGAGTGTGCAGTGTGTGTGTGCTGTGTGTGTGTGTGTGGTGTGACTGAGTGTGTGAATGTGTGTGAGGGTGAGAGTGGTGTGTGCAGTGTGTGAGCGTGCGGTGTGTGCGGTGTGCGTGAGTGAGTGTGAGCGTGAGTCTCAAGGAAACGAAGACACAAGCCCCCCGAGGCCGGCACACCCGGATGAGCGAGGAGCCACCCCGGGGCCCGCGTCTCTGGGGAGGCGTCTCCCAGGCCCTGGCGCCCGCGGAGGCTGACCCCGTCAGGGGAGGGCGGGGGGCCCAGGACAGGTCAGAGCCTCGGACCTCAGGGCCAGGCAGAGGCAGGGAGGGCGCAGAGCCCAGAGCCCCAAGGGCGGCGCCTGCGGGGTCCACCAGGCGGGTCCACCAGGCGGGTCCACCAGGCGGGTCCACCAGGCGGGCAGCGCCTTCCTCGCGGCCGCTCTGACCACAGCCAGGACGTTGGGCCTCAGCCCCGCGTCCTCCCCCGGCGCCCACGGTCTGGGAAACGCGCAGGCTGTGACCTGGGGGTGCAGGCTGTGACCTGCGGGGCGCAGGAGGGGGGCCCGGCGGAGCCCCACTGCAGGGAAACACCACAAACACCCCCCAGCGCAGGGGGCGGAAAGGGGGGGACAAGGCCCAAAGCAACAGGGCAGACAGAAGCGGGGCCGGGCCCCCAGGCAGGGTTGGCGCCTCCAGCTCCCTGCGGCTGCCCCGCCCGCTCCCCACCCCTGCCTGGGCTGTGCTGGGTGACCCCCCTCAGGCCCCCGCCTCCAGGAGCGCCCACCGCGCCCCGCGCCAGCCCCCCGCACCCCCCCAGGCCTCACTTTGGCGGACACTCCCAGGGATGGGCGGTCAGGCCCTGGGCCACGGCTGGGGTGTCCGCAGCGCCCGGCTGCCCCGCCCTCACCCTCGCCCCACAGGCGGCGGCCGACGACCTCCTGGCGGCTCTGCAGCTGGACGCGCGGGCCGCGCTGGCCGAGATCCGCGCTCTGAAGCCCGAGGCCCGGGCCCTCGTCGCCCAGGGCCTCTGCTCCCGCTGCCGCGCCGACCTGGGCCAGCAGCTGGACGCCGGGGCCCGGCTCGGCCCGGAGGACGCCCAGCGCCTGCGCGCCGCGGGGGAGGCCCTGGTCAGCCTCGGCGGGGGGCGCCCAGGCCCACAGCTGCTCCTGGTGGACGTGCTGACCGCGGCGGGTGAGTGCGCGGCCCCCGGCCTCCGCTGCTGCTCCAGGCGCTGGACCCGACTCCAGGGGTCAGAGCCCGGCAGCGGGGCGTGGGGGGCTGGTGTGCACGTGGCCACAGCTGTCCCCGCGCGGGGCCTGCAGGGACGGAAGAGGGTCCCCCAGTTTCAGTCGCTCAGCGTTTCTGCAGCAGAGCCCCAGCCCCAGCCCCAGCCCCAGCCTGGCCTCGCGGGCCGGCTCTGATGTGAGAGGGGGGACCCTGCAGCGGCTCGTCCCCGCCCGGCATGGTGACCCAGCCTCAGGGGCCCCGGGGTGCTGGCAGGAAGCAGGCCCTGGGGGGTCGTGACAGAGGCCTGGGGCTCAGCCTGGGGGCGTGCAGCTTAGTGACAACCCCCCCCCCGTGGGGCGGGGTCAGCAGGTGGCCCTCTGCGCCCCCTCGGCTGCCCCACCGGCCCGGCCCCACCAGTGTCCTCCAACCCGCAGGCAGCTACGAGGAGGCGGGCGCCCGCCTGCAGGAGGCCCTGCACCCCGCCCCGGCGTCCGCGGCCGCCCTGGCCCGGCGGGGCGTGCTGGGGCTCAAGAGGGGGGACGCGCCGGTGGCCGTGCGCGACCTGCAGGGCCTGGCGGAGGCGGACCCCGGGGACCTGGGCTTCCTGCTGCGGCTCCTGGAGCCCGCGGAGCGCCGGAGCCTGGCCCAGGTGCGCGCCCCGCCGCCCCCCGCGGGCGCCTGAGGGGGTGGGGGGCAGGGGACCCCGGACTGGGCTGGGGCGCCGCGTCGGCCCCGGGGGCCCCAGCAGCCCCCCTCTCCGCAGGCGGGGGAGCCCGGGGGCGGGAGGGGGGGGCGCCTGCCAGCCCGAGGGCTGCTCCCGAGGCGAGGGGCGCCCGCGCCCCCACCCCTGCAGAGGGGCGAGGGCCCCGCCGGCCGGCGGCTCTGGGCGGGGCGGTGGGGGATGGGGGTGGGGGGTCCCCTGAGAGGGCGGGGCGGGGACGGCCCCGGGAACCCGCAGCTCCGGAGACCCCGGCCGCGTCCAGGCCGCCGGCCCGGGAGGAGGCGCGCGGGGGCCGAGCGGGCGGCGCCCTGGCCGGGGCGCGGGGGAGCGCGGGGGGGGGGCGCGGGGGGCGCGGGGAGTGCGGGGGGTGCGGGGGGGCGCCGAGGGGCGCGGGGGGCGCGGGGGGGCGCGGGAGCGCGGGGGGCGCGGAGCCAGGCTCTCCCGGGAGCGGCCCGGGGGCTGCGCTCCGGGGGGCGCGGCGAGGGGGCGGATTCGGGGGGCTCCTGGGGGCGCCCGGGCTGCCGCGGGGCCGCGCCTGACGCCGGGCCGTTGCCTGGCGACGCGGGTCGACCCGGAAGCGAACCGGAAGCGGTGCGCCCCGTTTCCGGTGCGTGTCCCGCCCCCGGTGCCGGCCCGCGCGGTCCGACCCGGCTCCCGGCTGGGCCGCGGGCGTGGGGGGTCCGCGCCCCCCCCGCTGTCGGCCCTGGGGGGGCAGCCCCGGCGCGCGGCCCGGGCGCGGGGGGAGGGAGCAGGGCGGGGAGTCCCCCGGCCCGCGGCGCCCCCCCTCCTCCGGCCCCCCGGCCCCCCTCCTGCGGCCCCCCGGCCCGCGGCCCCCTCCTCCTGCGGCCCCCCGGCCCGCGGCCCCCCCTCCTCCTGCGGCCCCCGGCCCGCGGCCCCCCCCTCCTGCGGCCCCCCCGGCCCGCGGCCCCCCCCCTCCTGCGGCCCCCCGGCCCGCGGCCCCCCCTCCTCCGGGGCGCGGGGCAGCGGCGCCCGCCTGGCCCGGCCGATGGGTCCGCCCCGGGGTCGGGGCCTCGGCTGTCGCGAGGGGCCGGGCAGCCTGGGCGCCCTGGACTGGCCAGCGGCCCCGCCGGCGCGGCCCGTGGGGAGGTGGCCGCAGGGGAGGCCGCGGGCGGGCAGTGGCCGGGTCAGCAGAACCTCGGCTGCCCGAGGCGGGGCGGGGAGGGAGGGGCGCAGGGGGGGTGTTTGCTGAGGGGGGGGCGGGGGGGGGCGGTCCTGGCCTCCCCGGGGAGGGGGTGTCTCCAGGCCTGGGCAGTGCTGGGGTCACCACTGGCTCCTCGGCCCCTCTGCAGGTGGCGGCGCGGGAAGCTGCTGCCCTCCTGGAGGCCGGCCAGCCGGGGCAGGCGCTCGGCTACTGCTCGCTGGCCGTCCTGGCCAGCGGGGGCAGCGCCCACCACCTGCGGCTCCGGGCCGCCTGCCTGGCCGAGCTGCAGCAGCTTGAGCGGGCCCGGGAGGACCTGGACCGCGTGCTCCGGGAGGCCGCGGGGGACGCCGGGGCCCCGGTGCGGGCGGAGGACCTCTGCTGCCAGGGCCGCCTGCTGCTGCGCCTGGGGGACGAGGCTGGGGCCGCGGGGGCCTTCGCCCAGGCCCTCCAGCTGGCGCCCGGCCCCGCCCGGGGCAGCCTGTGGGAGCGACCCGGCCGGGCCCCCACGGCCCGCGTGCTCCTGCGCCACGGCCAGCGCTGCCTGGAGGAAGGACGCTTGGCCGAGGCCTGGGGGGCGGCCCAGAGCGGCCTCCTGGCCGACCCGCGGCACCGTGGCCTGAAGAGGCTGAAGGCAAGGATCTGCAGGGCGGCGTCCCCGGGCTGCCGGCTGCACTGACCGGGCCTCCCGGGCCTCCTTCCCGGGCCCCTTCCTGGCCCCGAAGCCGCCGCCTGCAGGGCCTGCCCTTCCCCGCGAGGACGGAACTCCCGAGCCGGGTGGTCACTCTGGCCGCCACCTCCTCTGCTGCCCGCCGAGCCGCCTGCCACTGGGCTCCTCCTGGCCACTGGCCGGTGGCCCAGTCCGCACCCGCCCCTCACGGAGGCCCCGTGCCCAGCCGCTGCCAGGCCCGGCCCGGAAGCTGCGCGAGGTCGGGACGCGCCCAGCTCGAGAAGAAGGGGTGGGGAGGCCAAGGCGGCCTCGGGGAGCACAAGTCAATAAAGTTGGAGTGGAGGCGTGGAGGCGTGGCGGGCGGTAAATGCATCCGGGGCACCGCGCGCCGGGAACAACGAGGGGACCCCGACAGCCAGTGCAGTCGTGCGAGGCCCGAAATGACACTCGTCAGTCCCACCAGCCTGAGGCGCTCTCGGGGGCCCCCCCACTCCTCATGGACATCCCGGCCGGAGCCGATGAGTCGGGGTCAGCCTGGTGGCGCCTGCTCCGTCCACTTCAGCCACAACCGGCCTGGAGGACAGGCTTTCCTGCTCGCGGTCTGCAGGGGATGAGGGGCGCCCGCGCTGTGAGGTCACGGGGGCGGGGGGCTGCCTTCTCGGTGCCCCAGGGGTACGGAGCACTTGGGGTTCCGGGAACGAGGGCCCATGAGCCTGGAGGGGCAGCTTGTTCTCCCGGTCCCCCTGGCTCGGAGAGGGGCCTCCCCAGGGTGGGCCTGGGTCCTGCTCCGCTGGTGCCGGCGTCTGGGGAAGGACACTCGTGGCCAGCGGCTCGCTGTCCGGCTTGCGCCTCAGACAAAATCCAGAGCGCGGCAGGACAAAGCGACACGCGGGAGGCAAAGGGGCGGTGGCCGCCCCCCTCGGCTCGGCACAGAAGCGCAAGGCCCAGGCGGGGGAGCCCTGGGGGCACTACCTGACCAGGTGGACTCGGGCCCGACGGGGCCGGCGCATGGGGGGGGGTCCCGGACATACATGTGGATGGCCGGGCACCGCCTGCCAGGTCCATCCCCCGCCCCCGCCCCCCGCTCTCGCTTGGGACACTGCAGTCCCCGCCCGAGAGCTTGGGACACTGCAGTCCCCTCCCGAGAGCTTGGGACACTGCAGTCCCCTCCCGAGAGCGCGGTCTCAGCTGAAGCGCCGCCGGCTGGCTCGCGGCCCCAGGTCGAGAACCCGAAGCAAACCCCACGGCCGCCCCAGCCCTCCCAAGCACCCCACGGGGAGCAGCGGGAGCGGGCAGATGCTTGGGGCTGGAGGTCACACGGCGGGCGGCCACCGCGGGGGGCCGAGTGGGGTCAGACCTGGGGTGCGGCCACGTCACATTCCACACGACCCCACCGCCGTGTCCCGACGCCTGCGCGGGCGCTTGGGAGTCTCAAGTGCGGTAACCAGCCCAGCTGCGAAGGGTCAGCCGGCCAGCCGGCCAGCGCTTGTGCTGGGCCTGCCCAGCGCCCCCTGGCCACTCTGCCCCTCGGCTGTGCCCACACGCGAGCACCCCCGAGTCTCTGGGAGTGAGAAGTGTCAGTTATTGGGGTGCATTCGCTGCCAGAAAGCCACGCCGCATGGGCTCTGGCGTGAGGCTGGGGGCGGGGCTCCCCAGGGCCTGGAAGGGGGGCCCCAGCTCTGTGGGCCCCTCCCTCTTGGCCCCAGGCACCCCGGCACCCAGGAGGGCCGGCGCCAGCTCCTCTCCCCTGACCGTGGCCTCAGCCCACTGCTGCCAGCCCCAGGCAGCGGCCTCCAGGACACGCCGGCCCGCCCGGTAGGGGGGTGGCTGAGCCCACGCTGGGGCAGGCAGGGGACAGCCAGGGGCTGAGGAGATCCTGTGTCAGGCTGGTGGGTCTGGGGTCGGAACCCCACGCTGCTGTCCCCCCGGGGAGCAGGCTCCAGGGGAGCCACCCAGACCAGGGCCGGACTCCCCGCTCTGGAGAGGGCTGTTCGCTCAGCCCCAGCGGCGGCCCTGCCCCCCACCCCCTAGAGACCCGGGGTCCAGGGACCACTCGGCGCATGGGGTCCCGAAATGGAATCGAGGCTTCAAGGGCGACCAGGGGCCCGAGGAGGGAAGTGGCTTCAGGGGTTATGCCCGTCATGGGGTAGATGCCCCGCCCACACTCAGGAGCCCCTGGACCGCCAGCCCCTGAGGATGGGGTCTGAGGAGCCCCGGGGTGGGGGCCAGAAAGCCAGGCCCCATGCCCGCGGAGGAGGGTGGGACCCCACACTCCCATCCTGCATGAGCAGGGACGCCCCCCGTGCCCTGGCAAGCCCCAGAGCCCACCACCCTCACTGGAGCTGAGGCGAAAGGAACCCCCAGGAGTGAGGGGCCTTCACAGCCCAGGGCCAGTGTGCCCCCGGCCCCGCCTCACGGGCAGCGGGCAGTAAGAAGGGGCCAGGCTCCTTCCCAGCAGCCCCTGCGGCCTATTGGGACTAGGGGGTCTAAACCGGGGGGGGGGGGGGGAGCAGGGCCTGCACCAGGGAGCAGGGCGCCCGCCACCCCTCCCCCACGCCAGCCCAGCCGGAACTCGCAGGCCGAGCAAGAGGTCACTGCCTCCAGGGAGCCCACGCTGCATCACAAAGGAGCCCCGGAAGCCTGAAGCACTGTCCCCCGCCTGGACACCCTCCCCTGACCCAGCTGACCAGACCCAGCCCTCAGACACCTGCGCAGCAGCCGCCATCCTGAGCGGCCTGAGGTGAGCCCAGCCTGTCCCCTGCTGGCCAGCTCCCCTCTCAGCACCCCACGGGCGCCCGTGTTCAGGCCTTCCCCGGGGCAGGCCGGCGGGCATTTCACCTGTGGCTCACCCGTGCCTGGGCCAGGCAGGCCCCTCCCCCAGCACCGTCCCTCCGTAAGGGCCGTCCCCCCCCAGCAGCCTGGAGAGTCCTTGGCGTGTCTCCAGGACACAAGGCCCCCGCAGCCGCCCGCCTGCACTACCTCTTGGCACGTGGCTTCGTCCCGGGCCTCAGCGCCGGGCTCAGCGTTCATGCGGGCTCACACTTGTCATGTGAGGTCCCCGGAACTCAGCAGGGAGCCCCGACCCATAAGCGGGAGCTGCACTCGCCTAGCTGGGGCTCCACCCGCCCAGCCCGGCACGCACCGGCCATCCCTCGCTCGTCCGCTCATCCTGCAGATGTGGGCGACCCCTTTGGTGGGTGGCAGTGGGGTGCCAAGGACCAGACGGAGCCCTGCCTGGCACTGAGGTCCCCAGGCCAGAGAGCCACGGGCATGCGGGCTCTGTGCGGGCTGTGCCGGCTGCCGGCAGGACCAGGAGGGAGGGGGCGGCAGTGGGCCCTGGAGGGAGTAGCCCGAGGTCAGAGCAAGTCTGCGTGTGAGTGTGTGTGGTGCGCACGCCCGCTTGGGCGGGTCCCTGGGCGGGGACGCCCAGACAGGTTGGGCACGCCTGAGCCCCCTGCAGCGGGCCCCGTGTGGGCAGGAAGGTGCCCGCGCTCCCTGGCTGGCGTCACAGCGGGGGACAGGATGGCACCTCAGCTGCTGCATAACCCCCAGCCCGTGGGCGCAGGCGCACAGAGCCGCAGGCAACAGGCCCAGAGGCTGGACCCGGGCGGGGCAGGTGCTGAGTGTCCACACGGAGGCCCGAGGGCCCTGCACATGCACACAGCACAGGGACCACGTGTGTACACACGTGCACGCTCACACACTCACAGGCACTCACGCGCAGGGAGCTCGCTCAGGCCGAGTAGGTGTCAGTGCCCCGTCCCGGGCCGCGGCCTGCCCCTGACCCCGCAGTGGCTCCTGTATCCCTGGCAGCTGCCCACTGCCCAGCTGGCTTGAGAGGGGACCCCTGTCCTGCTGACGGGGCGTGGGGGGGACGGCAGGGCCTGTGGAGGGAGCGTGGAGGTGCCTCTGCCCGTCCGACGATGCTGTGTGGTCAGCACCACCTGGCCTGGGCTCCAGGCAGGGAAGGTGGGCGGCAGATCACAGCCCAGCACCCCCGCGTGAAGTCCTCAAGCAGGAGATCGGGCCTCCAGGGTCCCTGGGCCGACCCCAGGCTGTGATCTGGGGGCCGCAGACAGCCCTATGGGGAGCTGGCACAGGACAGGATGCCCGGGGTCAGCAGCCCGGCCTCCTGGGCACTCCCAGGCACACCCAGACCCCCAGAGCCTCTGGCCAGGAAGAGTAAACCCATATGCCCGGAATGGAGAGGGGGGCTGGACCCCCAAGCCCCCGGCACCGGCCTTCCAGCCTGGGGCAGGGCTGCAGCGGCCACCGGCCCCCCCCGCCTGCAGGCTGCCTTGGCCTTGGGGTGTCTCAGCCCTGCGCTCCTGTCTAGACTCGAGATGGGGGAGCCCGAAAGCCCGGTGGGGACGGTGGAGATCGCCGGCCTGTCGGGGCAGAAGCGCCGAGACTTTCTGGAGGGGGGGCTGCTGCTGCTGCTGCTGCTGCTGGCGGGGGCCCTGGTGGCCGTGGGGCTCCTCTACGCCCACGGCGGAGGTGAGTGAGGCCCCTCCCCCAGGCCCGCGCCGCGCCGCTCCCCTCCCGACCCGGGGTCCCCGAGCCCCCACCCGCAGCCTCGCTCCCGGCAGGGTCTGTGCTGCGGCCGGGGGCGGGGCACTGACCTGCGGGGCACAGCCCCTTCCAGAAGGCTCTGCGTGCGGTGCTGCGCGTCCTGCGGGCTCCGGGCTCCTAGCGCATAGCGCAGGCTGGGAACTCCAGGGAGTGCAGGCGCCCCGCCCCGCGGCACCCCTGCCCCTCGGCAGCCTCCCCCCCCCACCCCCCACCCCACCCCACCCCCGCGCGCGCAGCACGCCGCGGCGCAGCCGCAGAGCCCTCGCTGCGGACCTGGCCCCGCTGCATCGGACGCACCTGCAGCCTCCAGGGACCCTGCCCTGGGGACAGGAACTGCCGGGATAACCCTGGCAGCCCCTCGCCCCCCAAGGCCGGGTCCCAGAGCCGCAGGGTCCCAGGCCATCCGGCAGGCCGCCCCGCAGCCTCTGTATCCGCAAGACAGCGGTGGGCTGGGGTCCCAGGGGGCAAAGCCGGGGCTGCCCTGCAGGGACACCCCCAGGTTCCCCTCCTCTGTCTCCAGACAGGGGCGGAGGAGCTGGCACTGGCCCCTCTGGGGGTGCTCACATGCAGCCCCCCACAAATCCCAGCTGCCGCCCACGGCCCAGCCCCAGGGGTGGAACACGCCCCACCAGAGGGCTGGCGGGTGCCGGATCCCCATGCCCCCCCCACCCCGCCTAGTAGCAGGCCCGGGTGCTGGGGCTCCCCTCCACACTCAGCATCCGGGCCAGCTACTAGAACGTTCCCTCCACCCTCCCAGCATCCCGGGCAGGACTGAGTCTGGGGACCAGAGTGGGTGCTGCCTGCGGTTGTGAGGGGAGCCCCCCAGGGCAGCTCCTGCCAGCTGCTGTGGTCAGGACCCCCTCCTGCTCCTGGCCCCTTAGATCTGGGTGACTGCCCGCCAGGCCCCCTGGGGACCCCCAGAGGCCACCCCACCGCTGTCGGCCTCGGGCCTGGGGAGCTGCCACATGGCTTAGGTGCGGTGTTCCTTGGCTTCCGAGTATGTTCTCGTGTCCACTGTGCTTTTGGGTTAATTCATGAGCTATTTTGGTTTCCAGTGCACGGGGATTGTGTTGTGTTGCTGCCTTGCTCTGGCCGGCTCCCGGCGGGAGGCCGCGGTCCGAGTGGTTAGGAGCCGCGGTCCGAGGTGTTCGCTGCGGCGGCCGGGCTGAGCCGGCCTCTCCTACGCAGGGCGGGGTGGACGCGCCGCGGGCGGTGCCGCCGTGACTGTCGCGCAGACCCGGCCGTGGGTCTACATTGGTGCTTTTTGCATTTTCTTGTTCTTTAGATTGTTGAAAGCTGCGTGCCGGGGGCGGGGGGCGGGGGTCTCATGCAAGAGGCCGCCGGCTCCCCCCGTGGTGCGCCGAGCACCCATCACCCCTCTAAGGCCACACGGTGCCCACTCCGTTAGCCTGGCTGCCCCCGTCGGTCTCGCCCCTCCCGCTGCAGGTGCCTCTGCCTGAATCTGCGTCACACCTGCCGCCTGTCCTCTCTGCCCCGGCCCTGCGGCCCTGGCCCCACGGGCCCGCGGAGGCGTGGCCTTCACCCGGAGGTCTCGGCCTCTGTGGTCACTGTGGTCACCCCGGGTGGTCACTGAAATGGACTTTGTTTCTATCCTGTCCCTCTGGCTTCGTGAGCTGGTTCCCTCTGCTGCCCCCTGGGTTGGCTGCTCTCGCTGCCCCGGCAGCCGGGGTTCCCGTCTCTAGTGTCAGTGGTTAGCTCAGCCGTCTGCGTAAACGGCCGCTCTTTCGGAAGCTGTCGGTGAGTCTGTTCCAGAAAGTCAAGTGCTTTTGTGCAGCTCTCCGTGGCCGTGCAGTCCCAGGCCGGCACTGCTGTCCACCCAGGGGCTGGGGGAGGCGGGGGCACCTGTCTCTGCCAGTGCCATTGGTTGGAGGTGCCCCCCACCCCGGTCACTGTCCTGGACGCCTTCCTGCCGGACCGGGCACCTGACCTGGCATGTGGCCCTCCCCAGAGCCGTGGCCACCCTGGGCCGGGCCCCCTCGAGGGCCTGACACTCGCCCTGGCTGCGGACGCTTAGCAGGCAGTCAGCCCGGTCCCTGCGCCCCCCCCGCCCCGGCCCCGGCCCCGGCCCCCCGGCCCCGGCCCGGCCCGCGCTGCTGCATCAGGCCCTTCACTGTTCTCTGCCAAATCATTTTATTCGAGCCCGTCTTCATCCGGCTCAGACGTGCGCCCGGGCTGGTCGGACACCGCGGGAGGGACGCGGCCTGGGAGCCAGGTCAGGCCATGGCACCTGCGCCCCGGGCACGGCCCCCAGGGTGTCTGCCCATCTTCCGGGACGCACCCCAAACACAGTCCCGGGGTCGGCTGCACCCCAGCGTCTGCACGAGCCAGCACCGGGCTTCTCCCTGGCCAGGCCAGCGGGGGGCTCCGCCTCGGCAGTAAACGAGACATTTTGCTTATCTGAAAATGCATGTGGGGCTCAGCCATCCCCTCGAGGCTCTCGGGCCCTCTGCGGCCTGCTGCGGACCCCTCCCGCTGCCTCCTGGGCCGCTGTCTGCGCTCCTGCCCGAGGCATCTGGCCGGCTGGTCGGCTCCGGCGCCCGAGCACCCTTGAACCATTGACGCTGCCCGTCGGGGAAGGGGCCCCAGAGGCTCCAGCCCCACCCCACCCCCCGCGTCCTGACTGCATCTGTGCCGGGGTTCCTGGCTCTGGGCGCCCCCAGCCACTCCCTGTCTCTGACCACCTGCCCCGGTGCACCCCTTAGAGCCGCACCCCCCTTCGCTCCGCTACCCGACCTGACCCGTCAGGAGCTACATTCACTTTTAATTCCTAGAAATGAACGTCTGACTCTTCCCGCCGTGAACTTTTTAAAAGTGTCTTGTCCTCATCTTCGTGTCCCTTCTGCACCCCACACGCGGCCGCGTCCTCCTTGGCACCAGCGCTCCTGCCCCGCCAGCCCCCGCCCGCTCAGGGCCAAACAAGCGCCGTCCCCAGGACACCCGCCGCCTCCAAGCCCACTCAGAGCAGGGAGGCCCCCTCCACCTCGCCCCACTGGCTTGGGGGGTCACGGCACAGCCACGTGGAGAGGGGCGCCCCGGCCTGCAGTGGGCCCAGGCCGGGGCCACGGCGCTGTCACCCACACCTCCCGGACCACACGGCCCTGCCCACAGGCCCAGGCGCTGCCCTACGGCTGCCGCCTCCCGCCCGCAGCGCGTCTGCATCACCATCACCCGCGCCCGGGCGGGGCGTCGCCGGCCGAGGGGCTCCCTCTGGAGAAGGTGTTTGTTCCCATCGGGCCCTGGGGACGGACGGCCCAGCCCATGGCTGAAAACAAGCTTCTCACCTGGGGCTTCTGTGCCCGCAAAGCCACGGGGGGCCCGGAGGACACCCCCTCCCCGGCGCAGCCGGGCCCCCTCAGAGACAGCAACAGACCCAGCAGATCAAGGCCAACCTGAGGAGAACAAACCCCAGAAGAGACGTCAGCTGGCACGCGACAGAGGCCAGCGGCAGGCACAGCGCGCGGGCACCTGCTCCCCGGGAGCTGAAGGCCCCGCAGGGGCCAGGTGGGGGGTGCCTGCGTGGCGCCTGGCTGCGCTCCCCTGCGCCTGACCCCCATCCTGCCCCGCGTGGGCTGCCGGCTGCCTTTTCCCGCTCGCAAGATGGAGGATCCTGCCTGAGGACTCGGGGCTGGGACTGCAAACCCACGGCCAGGACGGGAGCCCACGGGCGGCCGAGTGGGGCACTGGGGGGGGGGCAGCGGGAGAAGGTGACCGTCCCGGCTGACCTCGAGCTGTGGCATCTGATGACCTCACCCCAGGGCCCCCCGGGAGGGGCCTGAGCAGGGCACGCTGAGCCAGGGCCTGGCGGCGTCCAGCGCAAAGGGGCGGAGCCTGCCCGGGCCCCGGGGTCTGTCCTGGGCATGGACAGGAGGGCGAGCCCGGAGGGGGCTGCTCCCTTCCTGGTGCTGTGCAGTCCTCCCGCCACGTCGGGGCCCTCGTGAGGACACGTGTCGGTCGTGTGGGCTCTGGCCTGACAGGACCCACGTCCCAGGCTAAGCACCTTGTGCTGGACAGAGGCCCGCGCGTTCACCCCAGGGCCTGGCCCTGGCCTCCTGGGGCGCCACGGTTCCTCCCGCTGCCCCGGGCGGGTGTCCGTCCCGCGGGAGCACTGCCGAGACCCGTCTGTGGTTCTCACTCGGGAGCTGCGGGCGACGGGCGGGCACGAGGCTGGAGCGGGCCGCGGCTCTCTGTCTCGCGCTGGCATGTGCGGGTTCGTGTCTTTCCCCAATTTTGAAAGCCCCGTGGGCGTCACCCCGCAAGGTCGCTCTGCCCAAGGTGTCGCGAGGCCGCTGGACGCGGACTGAATGGCGCAGGCCTCGTGCTGTTCCAGTTTGGGTGTTTGTTTGTTTGATCATTTTTAAATGTTTAGAATAGTTTTAATTGTGCAAAATTCTTGCAAAGATAGTACAGTAGCCCCCCCTTATTCCAGGGGTGTCTGAAACCACCGGGCTGGGTCCCCTCCAGCCAGGGTTAGCCCCAGGAGATGCCGAGGCTGCCCAGACAGTGCTCCCCTAGAGTGGGGGTGGGCGGGGGTGACAGCAGCTTCAGCACCGAGGGGACCCCTTCCCAAGGACACCTCTCCCCTGCACGAGCCTGCTGTCCCTCCCCGGCGGGCGCTGCAGCCGCCTGTCAGGCCTGGGTTCGGCCCAGGGCCCCAGGATAGAAGAGAGTCAGAGGGGGCTCCTCTGAGGGGAGGAGGTCTCCCCAGGAGGCCCTGGGCGCTGGCATGTGGGGCTGCCTCCCCTGCTCAGGCAGGTGCTGCTGGGGACCCCCCAATGTCAGCCCCCAGGCACCAGCCCTCACTGCAGGAGGAGGGGCCCAGGGCCCAGCCATGGGAAGCGGCCAGCACTGCCCCCCGCGCCCTGAGCACCCCAGGAGCTGGCGGCGGGGAGCTGAGTGCTGTGTTTCTCCCCAGGGAAGCAGCTGCCTCTCTTTTCTAGCCGGCTTTGCTTCTCAAAGGAAGAGAAGACCATTGTAAAACGAAAACCCCGAGGTAGCTGTGCCCCCACCCAGACAGCCCCCACATGGGGGGCTCAGAAATGGGGGCTCCTGGGGACCAGGCGCTCGGTAGAGGGCAGAGCTGTGGCCCGGCCAGGCCAGGCCAGGTCCACCGCACGGCAGGCCCAGGGTGTGCAGGGAGGACGGGGGGCGGGGCAGGGCAGGACTGGATGGAGGGGGTCGGGGGCAGGGACGCCGCGCTGCCTCCACTTTACACAACCGGGCACCCAAGGGGGGGGGGGGCTCGATGTGCAGAGAGGGCAGTGCCCGAGGAGCTGACCCCCCAGGGTGAGAGCTGGCCGGGCAGGGCGGCGGCCCAGGCTGGCTTCAGCGGTTCTGGCCCCGGGGACAGCTGCCGGGACGGGGGCCCCGAGAAAGCAGAGGGTGTAAAAGGGGTTCTCAGGTCACTGCAGGGGTCAAGCAAAAATGAGATTCAGCCGTACTTGAGACCCCCACCTGGCCGTGCTGGGAGCCCAGACCTCAGGCTGGACACCCAGCCCCGCCCACCCCTGCGAGCCTGCCCAGCTCCCCCGTGCCCCTGCCCCCCACGGCCCCCCGCGGGCTCACGCGCTCCTTGCCCGCAGCGGTCAGCCAGCCCAAGGACATGGAGGTCTGCACGACCCCCGGGTGCGTGATGGCAGGTAAGCCCCCCACGCCGTGCACGGCCCCCCACAAGCAGGAGCAGCTGCGGGAGGCAGGGCCCTCCGGGAGGCCACAGCCCAGGGCCGCCCCCCACGCCCCCTTCCTGCACCTGCAGAGAGGTCACCCCAGCAGACATCCTCTCGAGTTCTTTCCAGGAATTCGTCTCAACATGGGGACCCCATCTTGCTGGTGGCAGATACAAAAAGGGGGAAATGATGTGGAGAAAACTAGAGAACCCCGAAACGGGCTCGTCCTCCCCCTCAGGCGCAAGCAGCCGAGGTCCCGCCCCTGGAGGGCAGTCTGGGTGGGCGTCCGGACGTCCGGGTGGCCCTCGGCTGAGAACATGCACCGTCCCCACACCCTCGGGGCTCCAGAGGCCAGGCACCCCCTCAGCAGAAAACAGCCCCGTGGGGGGGCTGCCCTGCCCCCCTCCATGCCGTGTGAGCAGGGGGCTCGGCCCGGGCAGGCACCCCGCCCCCGGCCCCGGGCTCCAGTGTCCCGACTGCTCGGGTGGGGGTCAGGAGGGGCTGCAGGCCGGTGGCGGAGAAGTGTGCGCCGCCGGGGGCTCCGCGGGCCGACCCCGAGGGCACGCGGGGCGCGGGGCCACCGCCACGGGCCTGCCTCTCCGGCGCAGCCGCCAGGATCCTGCAGAACCTGGACCCGCAGGAGGACCCGTGCGAGGACTTCTACCAGTACGCCTGCGGGGGCTGGCTGCGGCGCCACGTCGTGCCCGAGACCAACTCCCGCTACAGCGTCTTCGACATCCTCCGCGACGAGCTGGAGGTCATCCTCAAAGGTGGGGGCCGCGCGGCCAGGCCCTCCCCACGCCCAGGCCGGCCCCCCTGCTCGGCCCGCGCTGCCCGCGCCTCTGCTCCGCCCGCAGGCGTGCTGGAGAACGCGTCCGCGGAGGACCGGCCGGCCGTGCGCAAGGCCAAGATGCTCTACCGCTCCTGCATGAACGAGAGTGAGCGCGCGGGCGGGCGGGCGGGCCCGGGACTCTCGCCAGCCTGGCCGGCCGCCGCGGCCCCGACCAGCTGCCTGGACCCCACTCACACCCTGAGCCCGCAGGGCCGCCGGGAGGGGGCGAGGGTGTGTGCGCGTGTGGCTGCGTGTGTGCCTTACCTGCTCGCGCACATGTGGCACGTGGGCAGGCGTGTACACGTGTCTTGCATGTGCACCGGGGAGGCACGCCCAGGTGTGGGGGGTGTATCTGTGTGCATCTGTGCGAGCGTGTGAGTACGTGCCTGTGTGCGTGTCTGGTGCATACATGGCTATGCACATGTGCGTGTGGGCAAGCGTGTGGGCAAGTGCGTGTGCATGTGTGTGGGTGTGCATGGGCTCCCCAGGCCCTCCCAAGGGGCGGCTGGGTGGGGCTTGGGCTGGGCACGGGCCCCTTCGGGGTCCAGTGAGTGACCCGCCCCCTCAGGTGTGATAGAGAAGCGAGACTCTCGGCCCCTGCTGGACATCATCGAGGCGATGGGCGGCTGGCCGGTGGCCATGGACAAGTGGAACGAGACGGAGGGTGAGGCCGGGCGGGCGGCCCTGGGCGGGGGCTCCTGGGCCACGTCGGGAGCTTCCACGCAGCCCCGCAAGGGGTGTCCTTCCCAGAGCCCTGGCAGGACCCTCTCCCGGACGCAGGTCCCAGGACCCCGCCCAGCCGGGGCTCCGTCTGGCGCACAGGCACACCGAGCAGCTGGCAGCGCCCGTGTGGTGCGGCTCTCAGGGGTGCCCGGGGGGCAGTCTGGGAGTCCCTGGTACCCAGGCCATGGTGTGCCGGCCCCCACGAGCTGGGCAGGGGCTGGGGGACCCAGAGGCCAGCTAGCGAATGACCCCCAGGCCCCAAGTGGGAGCTGGAGCAGCAGCTGGCCATGATGAACGCGCGGTTCAACCGGCGGGTGCTCATCGACCTCTTCATCTGGAACGACGACCAGAACTCCAGCCGCCACATCATCTACGTACGCGGGCGGCTCCGGCGCAGAGCGGGGAGGGGGCCGGGCCTGGGCGCCGGGACCCTGCCTCATGCCCAGAGACGGCCGGGACCCAACAGGAGGGCGGGAGCCTGGCCTCAGGGCACCCCTGGCCACAGCTAAAGGCCAGAGAGCCGGTGACGGCCTGACCCGCCTCCAGCCCGGCCGCCGCCCCCCGGAGGCCAGGGGCTCCAGCACTGACCCCGTCCAGGCCCGGGCGGGGGGAGCGGTGCGGCCTGCCGGCCAGGCTGTGGGGCCTCAGGCCCCCGCCGAGGGTCACCCTCTTGTCTCCAGATAGACCAGCCCTCCTTGGGCATGCCCTCCCGGGAGTACTATTTCAAAGAGGGCAGCAACCAGAAGGTGAGTTGGGGCCTCGCCGCCAGGCGGACCCGGGCCCCGGCCTCCCCACCTGCCCCGCCCGTGGCCCTGCTCTCCCGCGTGTCCCGGGGCGCCGCTCCCCACAGCTGGCCCCGTGACCCGCTGAGCGCTGGGCCTCAGGCGGTGTGACCTGCCGCGTCGCTGTCCCCATTGAGGGGGCGTCCACAAGGCCCACACGGCCCCCTGCCACACTGTCCCGTCACTGCTGAGAGACCTGGCCGGGGCGCCGGGGCCCGGGGACGACACCCTGGCCTCCTGCCTCTGGTCAGGAGAGGGGAGCCAGGAGCCGAGCTGCGGCCAGAGGGCAGGAGGCCGGGTGGGGCCCGCGGGGTGGGGAGGGGTCAGGAAGGAGGACAAGGAGCAGGTGGGCCACAGGGGAGGTGTGCGGGGGCCCCGGGCCGTAGGGAGCTCCGGGGCCAGAGCTAGGCCGCTGCTCCAGGAGGGAAGGGAACGAGGCCCAGGGAGGGGCGGGGGGGCTGGAAGAACCCCAGGGGCCCCAGGGCTCAGGCCCCCGCCCCGGGTCAGGCCAGCAGCTGTGACCAAGACTGCCCGGGGCGTCGGCCCAGCCTGATGCCAGGTCAGGGGAGGAGCATCCGCTGTCCCCGCAGAGGCCCGCCCCTCCCAGGACGCGCAGGAGAGGGCACCCCCAGGAGGGAAGGCGCCTCGGGGCCCTCGGGCCTGGACGAGTCTGGCCAGGACAGCTCACCTTGACCGCACCCAGCGGCCCTGGTCTCTGCTGAGCACCTGCTGTGCCCGGCGCGTCCAGGCGTCCCGCAGCCGTAGACTGGGTCTCTCAGCCCCCCGAATGTTCGGAGATGGGGTTACGCAGCCGAAGGGAGGGGGTGGGGGCCTCGGGGCGGCCCAACCGCAGGTCTGAGGCAGACACAGGGCCCTGGGAGCCACGCCCCTCGGCAGGCTGCTTCAGAGAGTGTGGACGCACGGGGGCCTGGCCTGGGGGGCAGTCTGGCTGTCCCCGCAAGGGCTCTCCCGCCGCCTGCAGCTGCCGTCCGCCCCGGGGTGAATGGGGCCCGCCCTCGTGCCCCCAGTCCAGTCCCACGGCGGGGCGGGGCCAGCTGGTGGGGGCCGCCGCTGCAGCCTGCCACCCGGCCAGGTGCGGGACGCCTACCTGCAGTTCATGACGTCGGTGGCCACCATGGTGCGGAAGGACGCACGCCTGCCGGCCAGCCGGCAGCTGGTGCGCGAGGACATGGTGCGGGTGCTGGAGCTGGAGACGCAGCTGGCCAACGTGAGGCGCGCCCCGGGCTCGGGCGGGCGGGGCGGCCAGGACCTCCCGCGACCCCTGCTTCGGTCAGGCCACCGTCCCCCAGGAGGAGCGGCATGACGTCACGGCCCTGTACCACCGGATGAGCCTGGAGGAGCTCCAGGACAAGTTCGGCCTGAAGGTGAGGCCTGGCCCCGCCCTGGCTGGGGGCGGGGGCGCTCAGCCCGCCTCGCCGCTGCGGCCCTGTCCTCGGAGACCGGCCGGCGGGTCCCGGAGCCGCTTTCCCGCCAGGGAAGCAGGTTAACGGGCTGTTCGCGGCGGCCACCGGTGCCCGGGCGCTGGCTCCACCCCAGGGCCCGCAGGAGCCGACGGCTCTGGCACCAGGTTTTGAGAAGGAGCTCGGTGCAGGGGAACTGGCGGGGCGGGAGGGGCAGCAGCTCGGCCCCCGTCGGGAAAGGGGTGGGGGAGCATGGTGAGAGCTCAGGAGGCCAGGGTATTAGGGACTTGCAGGCCGGGGCGAAGAAGCCGGGTCTGAGCGAGGCTCCCTGGCCAGTGCTCCGGGCAGGCGTCCCCTCGCTGGCCGCCTCCCGCCCCCTCGGAGGCAGCGCTCGGCTCTGGCCAGCCTGGAGCTTGGCTCCCACCTGGGGGTGGGGGGTGCCGCTGGCAGCCAAGCGCCTCTGTGAGAAGCAGCAGCGTCTGCTCTGCGTCGGAAGGGGCTGGAACTCCGCTTCATCTCTGCATCCGTGGCAGTGACCGAGGCTGCCTGGCATTCGCTCTCCTTGCAATGCCCTTACTGTGGCAGCAGGGTTACTCCTGGCTCACAGCCCGAGTGGACGGCGGCTGTGCTCCTCAGACGCCGGCCGGGTCCCCCGGAAAAGCCAGTGGGTCTGGCCGCCCCGTATCCTGATGCTGAGCGCGCGCCTTCCCTCCTCGCTGGAACAGTCTTGGGGGCTGGGCTTCCCGGGGCCCGGAACTCTGTGCCTCCCCTTTACCCGCCGGCTTCCTCCCCCAGGGGTTTAACTGGACCCTGTTCATCCAGTCCATACTGTCCTCCGTCAAAATCAAGCTGCTGCCCGAGGAAGAAGTGGTGGTCTACGGCGTCCCCTACCTCAGGAACCTGGAGAACATCATCGACGTCTTCCCCTCCAGGTGAGCCCAGCAAGGCCCGCGGGCCTCGCCTGCCTGCCCCTCCCGTCCCTGTCCCTCGGTCCCCCTCTCCACTCTGCGGTGGCCCTTGGCCCTCTCCTCTGAAGTGAGAGGGGCGTGAGGGCGGGATTTCCAGGCGGAGGAGCTGGGCCTTAGAGGTGTCAGCCCGCCCCGAGCATATCAGAGCGCAGGGCAGGCCAGACGGCCCCTCGGGGCTGCCTCTGACACGTCCTCTGCCCCCGAACCCCTCCGTGGGGCGGGCCGATGGCCTGGCCCGTGCGCTGTGCTCCCTCCCCGGCCCGCCTGTTCTGTGCTCTGCCCCGCCGCCCGCAGGACCTTGCAGAACTACCTGGTGTGGCGCCTGGTGCTGGACCGCATCAACAGCCTGAGCCAGCGCTTCAAGGATGCCCGCGCCAGCTACCGCAAGGTGAGGGGACCCCGGGGCTCCTGCCCGCCCGCGCTCGCGCAGCCCTGTAGACCGCAAGCTCCTGCTGAGGGCCTGGCTCCAGCATCCACCCGGATGAACCCTGAGGCCCCGGCCTCCCGGGTGGTCAGACCATAGCTTACTGGACCAGCGGGAGCCCGCGTTCAAAACCAGCCAGCAGGACAGGTGCAGGAGCCGATGCTGAAACCTGAAGGCGGGGAGGCCCAGGCGCTCAGGAGCAGGGACGCCGGCCGGGAGGCAGATACGGCCGGTGCCGGTGCAGAGGCCCTGAGGCCGGGACGCCAGGGCCACGCGGGAGGCGGGTGCCGTCCGGGCAGGGCCCGATTGCATTTGACGGCTGCTTGTGTGGTGATCCTGGCTGCAGGGGGCAGGGGAGGGGGCAGAGTGTGGTCTCCTTAGCTGCCCTGGGACAATGACCAGGACGTGCAGGCGACAGGGTGGCCGCCCTCCAGGTGGGGGTGAGCTTTTGGGTCAGGGCACGCCCGAGTATTGGCGGCAGGAATCTGTGGGGCGACATGTTTCCATCGTGTGCCTCTGCAGACGAGCAGACAGGCCCATCCCCACTCTGCTAATGGGAAAACGAGGGCCCAGGGGAGCTAGCGGCTCCCGGTCAAGCTGGACATGCCCCGGGGCCTGCTCTGGGGTCAGTGCCAGCCTGTGCTGTGCTGGGGGGAGGAGGCTGTTGTCCTTAAGGGCAGAGTCCTGCCAGGACCCTGCCAGGAGCTTGGGGCCAAGCCGTGCCCACCAGCACCCCAGAGCAGCAGCCCAGCTCCCAGCCTGGACTGGAGCCCTCCCCTTAAAACTGCACCCCCTGTCCCCCCACCCACGACCAGCATCCAAAGGTCAGTCTCGCTTCATCCCGTGTCCTCCCTGGGCACCCAAAGTCAAGGCAGGGAAGTGGGTTTGGTAAATGCGGGGGAGGGGTGATGGACGGAGGACGGTGGGTAGGGGATGGGGGACAGGTGGAGGGTGGAGGGTGGACGGAGGACGGGGGTGTGGGTGGGGGATGGGGGGCCGGCGGATGAGCGGGGACCCCCGCAGGCGCTGTACGGCACCACGGTGGAGGAGGTGCGCTGGCGGGAGTGCGTCAGCTACGTCAACAGCAACATGGAGAGCGCCGTGGGCTCCCTCTACGTCAAGGAGGCCTTTTCGGGAGAGAGCAAGAACGTGGTGGGTGCCCGGCCCTGGCGCAGCCCGGGGGCGGCGGGGGCGGGGCGGCCTGCACGGGGGCCAGGGGAGGGCCCTGCCCCCCGCAGCAGCGCATGCACTGGGGGGCACGTCTGCTTCTGCCTGGTCACGCGGGGAGCCGGGGAGGCCCCGCTCCGGGAACGGGTCTGAGCTGCACGTCGGGGCGGGGCAGCGGGCGGGGGCGGGGCTGAGCCTGTGCCCCCAGGTGCGCGAGCTCATCAACAAGGTGCGCGCCGTGTTCGTGGAGACCCTGGACGAGCTGGGCTGGATGGACGAGGAGTCCAAGCGGAGGGCCCAGGAGAAGGTGGGCGAGGGGCGGGCGCCGGGCACCCAGGGTGGGGGCTGGGCCATCCCCGTCACACCCACGTTAGAGGCAAGGGAGAGGCTGGCGGCGGCTGGGGGAGGGGGCAGAGGAGCCGGCGCCAGTCCTGGGGTCGTGGGAGCCCCCGGCCACGGGACTGGGCGCCTGCAGCGAGGGCAGTGAGGGCCCGGCCGGCCTCCAGCGGGCTGGCAGAGGGCAGCCTCCGGGCGCTCCGGCCCCGCCCTGGGCACCAATGCCTCTGCCTCTGGCCCCGCCAGCCTCCGGCAGCCCGCGAGGAGGCGGGTCCCAGCCCACACGGCGGGGGGTCCAGAGCCAGGTCGCCCGGGGGCCGGGCCAGACCACCCCCTTCTTCCCCAGGCCCTGAACATCCGGGAGCAGATCGGGTACCCCGACTACATCCTGGAGGAGGGCAACAAGCACCTGGACGAGGAGTATTCCAACGTGCGCCCCCAGATCCACGCCTGCCCCGCCGCCCGAGCAGCCCCAGGGACCACGGGCCCCCATTACCCGGGTGGGGTGCTCTGGAGCCCCCTCGCCACGCACGGTGACCCCAGCGTCCGCCGTTACGGAGGGGAGCCTGAGCCCCGGAGGACGGAACAGCTGGCGCAGGCCAGGCCCCCCCAGCCCAGGGCGCCCCGAGTCCCCCGGGCCATTCTGCCTGCCCCACCCTGACCCCCGCCCTGACCCCACCCTGACCCCCGCCCTGACCCCCACCCTGACCCCCGCCCGCGCCCAGCGTGGCCGCCCCTCCCGCCCCTCCGCAGCTGAACTTCTCGGAGGACATGTACTTCGAGAACGGCCTGCAGAACCTCAAGGCCAGCGCCCAGCGCAGCCTCAAGAAGCTGCGGGAGAAGGTGGACCAGCACCTGTGAGCGGCCGCGGGGCGCGGGCGGCGGGGGTGGGTGGGCTCTGGCTCACCCCCCCATTCCCCACCCCCCAACCCCCCCACCGTCCCGGGCATCAGGGTGGGCTGCCGGCCGGGCCCCCCGACTGACCGTCTCTCCCAGCTGGATCATCGGGGCCGCCGTGGTGAACGCCTTCTACTCCCCGAACAGAAACCAGATCGGTACGTCCAGCCCTGCCCCCCGCCCCCCCCCAGCGCCTGAGGTGACCCCACCCCTCCTCCTGGGCACCCCAGCCTGCTCCCGGAAGAAGAGCGGGGGCCACCTCCCCCACCCAGGAGCCTCACTCCCTCACCCCTGCGGGAGGCGCTGCTCTGCGTCCCTGGGCGGGTCAGGAGTTTGGGGGTGCCGCAGAGGCCCCGTCCCGAAGGCAGCAGAGTGTGGACAGAGCCTGGACCTGAGTCCTGGATCTCCCCGCAGCCCCTCGGCCTCAGTTTACTCATCTGTAAAATGGGGTCACGCCCACTGCCTCCTGCACTGGACCCAAAGGTCCTGGCTCCCGGGAGGCGTGCGGGCTCACAGCGCGTCCTCTGCCCCCCAGTGTTCCCCGCCGGGATCCTCCAGCCCCCCTTCTTTAGCAAGGAGCAGCCGCAGGCCTTGAACTTCGGGGGCATCGGGATGGTGATCGGCCACGAGATCACCCACGGCTTTGACGACAACGGTAGGGGCCGCCCCGGGTCAGAGCGCCCCTCCGGGTCGCGCGCACCCCTCGAGCAGCAGCCCCGAGGGGACCGCGGGCCAGGTGGGGCCGCGGGGCAAGAGGGGGGCCGGGCCGGAGCCGCGGACCGGCCGGCAGCCCCTGCCCCCCCGCAGGCCGCAACTTCGACAAGGACGGCAACATGCTGGACTGGTGGAGCAACTTCTCGGCGCGGCACTTCCGGAAGCAGTCGGAGTGCATGGTCTACCAGTACGGGAACTACTCCTGGGACCTGGCCGACGACCAGAACGTGAGCCGGCCGCCCGCGGGGGGTGGGTGGGGGCTGAGGGGCGCTGGGGTGCCCACCCGAGCACCGCCATCCCCGCCCTGTGTGCAGGTGAACGGGTTCAGCACTCTCGGGGAGAACATCGCGGACAACGGCGGGGTGCGGCAGGCCTACAAGGTGGGTCCCCGCAGGCCCGAGCAGGTGGGGAGGAGCAACCGGACTAGGTGGGGGCCGCACCCCGCGAGGCTGGCCTGGAGCCACCGTCCACCCGCACTGGCAGCGGCCCCGAGCCTGCCCGGCGGGAGGTGGACGCCCGCGTCACGGCCCGCATTGGCCGTGACCCCCACGGGGCCCCCACGGAGGGACCAAGTCCCAGCGCCGACGAGGCGGGCCCGGCGAGGCCCCACAGAGTGTCGGTAGTTGGGGGGCGCCGGAAGCCAGGGCGGCCCAGCACGCTCACGCCCGCAGGCTTACCTCAAGTGGACGGCCGAGGGCGGCAAGGACCGGCAGCTGCCGGGGCTGGAGCTCACCTACGACCAGCTGTTCTTCATCAACTACGCCCAGGTAGGGTCGCCCGCCCGCCCGCGGCCCGCGCAGCTTTGCCCCTTGGTGCGCTGCCCGCGGCCAGCGGCCGGGCCTGAGCTAGGCCTGCAGGGCTTCCCGGGCCGGGCCCGGCGCAGGCTCAGAGGGAGGCGTGCGGGGGCTCCTGCGGGCTTGGGCCCGCCCCCGCCACAGCGCAGCTGGAGCCTGAGCCTCTGTGCCCAAAGGAGACCGCGCCCCCTCTGCCACCCCTGCCAGCCTGCCCCCCTGGGCCGAGGTCTCCAGCACCCCCCCACCCCCAGGCCCACCCTGCCCCGTCCCACAGCCACGCCCCTGTGGCCCGCAGGTGTGGTGCGGGTCCTACCGGCCCGAGTTCGCCGTCCAGTCCATCAAGACCGATGTCCACAGCCCCCTGAAGTACAGGCAAGTGGCCCCTGTGCCCGCCCCGGTCCGCGCCCGCCCTGGTCCGCGCCGGCTCAGGCCCCTCCGCCCGCTTGCAGGGTGCTGGGCTCGCTGCAGAACTTAGCCGCCTTCGCCGACGCGTTCCAGTGCGCCCAGGGCACCCCCATGCACCCGCACGAGCGATGCCGCATCTGGTAGCCAAGGCCGAGCCGCGCTGGGCGGCCCTCACCGTCGCCCCGAGCCCCCCGTCCGCTCGGAAACCGCAGCGGCGGGGTCCCGGCGTGCGCCTGGCCCGGCCTCCTGACCGGCCACCCGGGGTGAGCGAGCGGCGCCAGCCGCGCCCCCCGCCCCGCGCGCGAGGGTCCAGGCCGCCCCATCCACGCAGCCCCGCGGACGCGCCGACTCCTCCGCCCACGCTCCAGAGCGCGTCCGCGCCCGATGTCCAGAGCCTCCGACTCGAGCCAAGTAAACACGTCAAGGATCCGCCGCCTGGCCTGTGTCTCGCGCGGAGGACAGAGGCGGAGGGCCGGGCGGGGAGGGCCGGCTCTGCCCAGGGCTGCAGCTGGCCGCGCCGCCCGCTGCGGGCCTTGGGCGAAACAGGCCAAGTGGGGGCGAGAAGGGCTCCGGGGAGAGGGAGCACCTCACAGGCCCCCCAGGTGTTCGTGCGGGTGACGCGGTGACCAGAGGTCCCCCAATGCCCGTCCTTCGGCACCGAGGGCAGGTGGGGGACGGAGCTGAGGCCCCGCGGTGGGGCGGGGCTGGCTGCCCCTGGCCCTGGTCACTGGGCGCGCAGGGTCAAGTGCAGGGCGACGAGGGCGGCCACCCTGAGCGGCGGGGCGCGGAGGCCCGCTGGGGGCCAGGCCAGGGGCGGTGGGGTGCCAGGCCCGCTCAGGCCGGGAGCCCCAAGGGGGTGTCAGCTCTGGGCCTGTTAGGCTTGAGGTGCCTGGCACGTCCCTCAGGGAGGTGTAGGGAGCAGGACGTGCCCGCTTGGCCAAGACGCCCAGCAGCCCCGGCAAGGAGCTAGGGCGTCCTCGCCCCGCCCCACGCCAGCCTCTCCCTAACGGCCTGACGCCCGCCAGGCCCCAACTCCAGGCCTGGCTCCCCCGGGGTCCTGAGGGATTCCCCACCCTGCAGGGACGCACCCCCGGAACAGCTCCTCCCCGAGGGGCCCGCCTGCCCTGCCCGGGCCCCACAGCCACGGGCTCCGAGCCAAGGAAGAAACGCTGGCTGGGAACCAAGGTTTAATGCCCAGTGCTGCCCACAGGCCAGGCTGAGGTCAGCGCCTGGCGCAGAGACTGGGGGGCCGGTTCCTTGCGTCCAGCTCCAGGGCAGCAGCTGCCGCCAGGTCCTCGGGCCTTCACCTGGCGCACGACTCCTCATGACACAGCAGAGAGCGGGTGTCGGGCAGCCACACGCCCCGGGGTGCTGGGCCTCCCACGGCCGAGGGGCGGGATGGCTGGACAGGATGCGAGGAGGCCACTGCCCCACCTCCTCTCTGAGAGGGCCCCGCGGGCCGCCCGCCCCGCCCTCGCCGCTGCCCCTCCGAGGCGCTGGCAGGACACGGCCCCGCCACGAGCACACGGGCCTGGAGCCTGCGGGTCCAGCTCAGCACCCGGCAGGACGAGCGCTCGTCCCGGGGGTTGGGGGGTACCGGGCAGTGCCCACCCAGGCCCCAGCTCACCGGGGCGGCTCGCGGGCGGGGACCTCCGCGGAGATGCCCAGGGCCTGCAGGATGCGCTCCTGGGGCCCGTAGTCGCCCGGGGACTTCTGGACAAAGTGCAGCAGCACCTCGTCTCCACCCGCGGCGGGGGCAGTGGGCGGGGGCCCGCGTGCCAGGAGGGCAACCCTGACCCCACCACCCAGGTCGGAGGAGAGAGAGCCGATCTGGCCGTTCTGGCCACGCGTCCAGCCAAGCCAGGTGCAGGGCGGGGCCTCGGGGCCTCGGCGAGACAGACTGACCTTGGGGGGGGAAGGGAGGGTCTCCAGCTTCCGCAGCCCCCGTCCTGCCCACCTTTGGTGACCGCCAGCAGCCCCCCGCTCTGCAGCAGGTCCCCAGACAGGTCCCCCTGGAGTGGGGAGCCCAGCTCAGCCCCGGACAGCGCCCCCCGCACTCCCGCCCCCGGGCCGGCCCGCCCTGGCCTCACAAGCCTTGGCAGCCACATGGCGCGCGGGCCTCCCAGGGCGCGGGCTGGGCACTCAGGCTGCTGCCCCTGCAGGGAGACGGCGCCTCCCGCGCCAGGTGACCACAGACACCCCCACCCGCGCCCAGCCCCAGGAGACAGGCAGCCCCGCCCCCCGCGGGCACCCTCCCGTCCCCAGGAGCTCTGGGCGGGCACAGGGCAGCAGGCCGGCAGGCAGCCCAGCCACGCCAGCCCCCCAGCTGCCAGAGCAGCCCCCGCCCCCCACCTCCGCGGCCTCGGGGCGGTCCCGGCCGCATCCGCAGCAGCCCGACCCCGGAGCGGGGGAGGCAGGGCCCGGGGCGGGCGGGAGGAGGGCAGCGCCCCCCCGCAGCGCCCCCTGAAGCCCAGCTCCTTGCAGCCGGCTTGCCCTCGCCCAGGGGGGCTCGGGGCAGAGGCCGCAGGGGAGACGCGCCACCCTGCCCGGCGCCCGCACCCGCCCCGGGCCGGAGAGGGCCAGCGGGGAGTGTGTCCCGGGAGCCGTGGCGGGTGACGGCAAGGGAGGCCGGGCGGCCGGGCACACCTGGGGGACGCGCGGGTGCAGGCGGGCAGCGCCGCCCGGGCTCGTGACGCCGCTTCTCCCCACCCCGGGGGCGCGCCCGGAGGCGGCAGCAGCCCCAGGGACTCGGTGCCCGTCCCCCCGCGCCCTGCCCGTCCACCCGCGGGAGCTCGGGCCCTGCCCGTCCACCCCGGGCGGGGGGGGGATGGGGGGGGGGGGCGCGCGGGGCGGGCACCTCCGCGACTCAGCCCCCGCCCAGGGCTCCCGCCGCCCCGGCCCCGCCCGCCGGGCGCCCCGCGCGCGGGTCCAGGCGCCTCGAGGCCGCGCGATCCCGGGACTCCCCGGCAGCCGGGGCCGCGCCGAGCAGCCTCGGCGCTGGGGACACTCCGGGGGGGACCCTCTGCCCGGGTCGGGTCCGGGCTCCCGCTCCGGTCCCCCCAGCGGAGACCCGAAAACGCGGGCGCGCGGCAGGAGCCCGGCAGAGCTGCGCGCCCCGCCCGCCCCCGGCCCCGCCCCCGGCCCCGCGTGACCCCGCCCATCCCGCGCCAACGCTCGCGATTGCTTTTAGCCCCGCCCCGTCCACGCCCGCGTCAGGGTCCGCTCATGCATATGCATGAAGTTCCCTCCAATGGCGCCGCCGGCGGAGGACGGGGGGGCGGCCGCGGGGCTTGCGCCTGCGCACAGTGCAGCCGGCGGCCCGGCCCGGCGGCCCCTGCCCGGCTCCTGGGCTCCGGGGCCCGCGGCCGCGTCCTGGGCGGTGGCCGCGCGGGGTCAGGCCAGGGCGGTGAGCGCCCCTCGCGCACGTGGGGCGCAGGGGGCTCCCCACGCCCCAGGGCCCCGCCGCCGCGGCGACGCCCGACCCGGGCCGGCCCCCTGCCGAGTCCAGCCCAGTCCAGCCGCGACCGGGGGCGGGCGGGGCGGGGCGGGCCCTCGGGGTGGGCGGGGCGGGGCGGGGCGGGGCCCTCGGGGGGCGGGCGGGCGGGGCCCTCGGGGCGGGGCGGGCCTCGGGGGGCGGGGCGGGGCGGGGCCCGCGGGGGGGGCCTCGGGTGGCGGGGCGGGGGCGGGGCGGGGCCGCGCGGGCGGGGCGGGGCCCTCGGGGGGGCGGCGGGCGGGGCCCGCGGGCGGGGCGGGGCCCTCGGGGCGGGCGGGGGCGGGGCGGGGCCCGCGGGCGGGCCCTCGGGGCGGCGGGGCGGCCCTCGGGCGGGGCGGCGGGCCCGCGGGGCGGGGGCGGGGGCGGGGCGGGGGCGGGGCGCAGCTGCCGGGCTCCTGCCGCGCGCCCGCGTTTTCGGGTCTCCGCTGGGGGCCCCGGAGGGGGTGCCCGGACCCGACCCGGGCAGAGGGGCCCCCCGGAGTGTCCCCCAGCGCCGAGGCTGCTCGCCGCCCGCACAGCGCGCGGCCGCAGGAGGAACGGCCCCGGGGCGCCCGCTGACCGGGACGGGCTCCGGGCGGGCAGGTGCGGCTGCCAGCGGCGGACACCGCCCGGCCGAGGGGCGCCGGCCCCCCAGGCTGCAATGGGGCCCGCCCCGGCCGCCGCAGGGCCCAGAAGCAGCCCGGGGAGGGCAGCGTCTGAGGAGGGGACCCGCGTGGGGCCGGGGCGGCCACCCCAGAACCGCGATCCGGAGGGGGGGTGCAGCCCAGACGCGCCGCGGAAGAAGGGGGGCAAGATCAAGGGCACCTCACGGCCTTGAGCCAGGACCGGCAAGCGGAGGGGTCAGGGCACAGAGAGGGCAGAAGGGCAGGCACTGAGAACAGCAGAGGGTGGTGCCCAGGCCCCGGCCCCCGGGACCAGTGCCTGTGCCCCCGGCAGGAGTGGGCGTCCACCCGCCTGTGCCCCCGGCAGGAGGTGGGCGTCCACCCGCCTGTGCCCCCCGGCAGGAGGTGGGCGTCCACCCGCCTGTGCCCCCGGCAGGAGGTGGGCGTCCACCCGTCTGGCCGGGGGCACGTCTGTGACGCCGAGTCAGTGGCACGCGGCACCCGGTCCCAGCGGCCTCGCTGGGTTCTGCTCGATCCTGGAGGTCCACAGTGCTCATGGGGTGCCCACTGAAGAGCCCGTGGGGGTCAGCCTGGGCAGGCCTGGCTGTCGGGGACAGTGGGGACCCACGCCAGAGGGGGGTCTGATGACCAGAGGAAGTGCCCCGACAGGAAAGAGGCCGGGCTGCGGCCCCTGAGATCAGGGCTCACAGGTGGGGGGTCACCCCCACTGGGGAGTCACTGTTACCCATCCCATCTGGGCCAGGGGTGAGTGGGCTGCCTCCCAGGACTCCCATCCGGCCCCCAGGGCCCCAGGTGTGTGGTGACTCCCCATGCCCCCCACCTCTATGCTGGGGGACCTCAGTGCTGGGAAGCATGGGTGGGGTGAGCCCCATCAGGGTGGAAGGTGGGGTTTGAGTCTGAGCACAAGGGTAGGGGGGCCAGCAAGACCTTATCTCTGAGCCCCATTTACCCATCCAGAAATGGGGGCGTGGCCCCCCAAGTCAGCTGGGTGAGGGGTCCAGGCCCTCAGGGTGCAGGGGGAATGTTCCACCTCTCTCCCCGGGAACAGGGCCCCTCCCATGTGGGGAGGGCTCCCCCTGCACGCGGAGCTCAGGAGCCTGCGGGGAGCAGGGACCCCGCCAGAGGGGCCCATGGAGGGAGGGGACACCATTTCCACAGACCCCGACAGGTAGCAGAGACGAGGCGCCTGGAGCAGGGGCTGTGAGGGGACGGGAGGCTCTGCGGTCAGAGCCCCGGGCACTCGAGGGCACGCAGGGGCACCTCCCCGTAGGCCTTGGGGCTGTCAGTGGGCCGGGCCGGGGCCTGCGCGGGGCTGCTAGAAGGGGGGCCACCTCCCTCCCGTCCCTGCTCTGTCCTGGGCCACCTCGGGCCAGCACGGCGCACCTGGGCCCACACCCCTGGCGGCGCACCCAGAGCCCCTAGGCGCCTCGCACACCCCTGCCTGGTCCTGCGGGCAAAGGGCGCCGAGGGGTGGGGTTGGGGCCCAACGGACGGCCCAGGCGATCCCGCCAGCGTCTCCCCGGAGGTGACAGCACCTGGGGCCGGTGTGAGTCCCCTGCAGGGCCGGGGATGAGGCGGCCTCTGGAGGGAGGTGGGGCTGCAGCCACCCTGGGGAGCCCCCCACCAAGCGGGGGCCTGAAGGCGGCCACCCTGGGTCTGGTGAGTCCTGCCCCCGGGTGTGGCCTCCGCACCCCCTCCCTTGCGGCCCTCCCCTGCGCTGACTAGCCTGGCGGCACCCGCCCATGGTCGCTCCTCTGGAGCCCCCCACTGTCCACGGAGACAGGGGAGCCCCGTTGGGGCAGGTGACTTCCGGGAGCCACGTGGACCCTGAGCAGGGCCCTGGGCAGCCCACGGCCTGGGAGGGCTCCTTACACCTGTGCAGTGGGCAGAGTCCATGGCAGGCCAGGGATTCACCTGGTCAGAGGGGCACCCCCCTCGGAGCCCAGAAAGTTCCCGGGGCGGGGCCTGTGTCATCCTGGACCAGGGCCCCAGCACAGCCCCCCGCCCTGAGCAGCCGCCTCCCTGGGCCTGTCCCGCCTCCTGCTCTGGCCCTGCGGGCGCCAGGCCGGGCAGCACCAGCCAGGGGAGGGGCAGCTCCTGCCCGGGGGTCTCAGGGCTCCCGGTCAGGACTCCGTGAGGACAGCCACGCAGTAGGTAAGGACCCTTGGGGGGAAACAGGAGACCTCAGGGGTCCCCCTGGCAGGACGCGGCCCTTAGGGTGCTGCTGCCCATTTCGGAGACGGAGGGACAGAGACGGCCCCCAGCCCCGCCTCACCCCGTCCCCTCCCCAGGTGCTGATCCTCGGCTCCTGGGGTCCCCTCCCTGCGCCCCAGCCGTGGCCCCGTGCACGGAGGAGCAGTACCAGGTGGGGCCGCGGTGCTGCCCCAAGTGCAGCCCAGGTGGGTGTGACCGTCCTGTGCAGTGAGGGCCGCGGCCAGGGCGGGGTGGTGGGGACGGGCCATGGTGCTGGGACCAGGACAATCACCCAGATCCTGACCCGAGTCCCCTCCAAGACCCCCGCAGGGTCCTCCGTCCCCCTGCAAGACCCTCCCTTCCACCTGCAGGGGGCGCCCTGGGGCATGACAGCCCTGGAGGAGGGACCCGGGTCAGGGGGCTCTGCTGTCCACAGGCCACGTGTGCGGGCCCACCTCCCTCCAGAACCTTCTGACTCCCCCGACAGGCTCCTGCTGGGGCTTCAGGGCTGGGGTCCCCTCAGGGTGTCCCCTGATCGGGGGACCCTCTGGCTGCAGGTTACCGGGTGCAGCAGCACTGCGGGGCATCCACAGACACAGCCTGTGCTCCCTGCGCCCCCGGGACCTACACCGCCCACCGGAACGGGCTGAGCGCGTGTCTGCCCTGCCAGGACTGCCGCCCAGGTGAGGCCCACCTGCTCCAGCCCGGGTCACCGGCACCTGCCCACCCAAGGCCCTGAGACGCGACACCCACAGAACGAGGAACCAGGACCCGCCACCCCCACCCTGGGCCCTCAGTGCTGGCCTGGTCCATCCAGGATCTAGGGGGGCAGGGAGACACTGAGGGGAGAGGGTGTCACCGGCCGGGGGTTCAGTAACATGGGGTTGGGGGGGGACACAGAGCAGGAGAGCCGGGCTGGGGGCCTGACCCCAGGGCCGATGACCCCCGGGGCACAGCAGCTACTTCCTGCCCCAGCCCCTGGGCGGGAGCTGGGCGCGGACAGGCCGGTGCGGGCGGTGGGCTCCGTCCCTAGCGTCCCCACCCTGCGGGAGCCTGGCCTACGCCCCCAGACAGGCGCCCCCCCTCACACACACGGCAGCCGTGGCTCAGCCCTCTCTCCTGGCAGCCCTGGGCCTGGAGACCCGGCGCGGGTGCTCCCCCACGGGGGACGCCGTGTGCGGCTGCGCCCCCGGCCACGTCTGCGTCCTGGAGCACGGGGACAGCTGCGCGCAGTGCCAGCCCCGCACGGCCTGCAGGCCCGGCCAGAGCGTGAGGCAGAGAGGTGAGCACCCCCAGGGCCACTCCTGACACAGCCGGGCCTCCTCCCCGGGAAGGGACACCCCAGCCCCTGGGGACACCCAGCCCCCCACCCAGCACCGCCTGCCCCGCCCGCGCAGGCACCGAGCAGCAGGACACGCTGTGTGAGGACTGTCCCCCCGAACCTTCTCTCCCGACGGGACCCTGGAGCAGTGCCAGCCCCATGTGGCCTGCAGGCCCGGCCAGAGCGTGAGGCAGAGAGGTGAGCGCCCCCAGGGCCACTCCTGACACAGTCGGGCCTCCTCCCTGGGAAGGGACATGCCCAGCCCCCCGGGGGCACCCAGCTGCCCCACCCAGCCTGACCTGACCTGCCCCGCAGGCACCGAGCGGCAGGACACGCTGTGTGAGGACTGTCCCCCCGGAACCTTCTCTCCGCTCGACGGGACCCTGGAGCAGTGCGAGCCCTGGACCAGGTAGGAGACCCGGCCTCAGCCCGGTGTCCGGGGGGCTCCTGGGGATCCCCGAGAGGTAAGGGCCACCCCATGAGAGACACCCTACGGCCTGTCCTCTGTGTCTCCCTGTCCTGTCCGTCGCCCTGTCCATCCGGGCCCTCCCTGGAGCGGGCTGTGGGAGGCAGACAGACACTGGTCCCCCCAATGTTCCCCCCGCCCTGTCCTGCTCCTGCCCCAGGGCCCGGGTGGGGTCCAGGGTCCCGGTGTGTCCCCTGCGGCTCCAGGCCCCGCCTCCTCCCAGGTGCAGCCGGCTTCAGGCAGAAGCAAATCCGGGGACCAGCAGCAGCGACGTCACCTGCTCCTCCTGGCCCCTTATTCTGCTTGTGCTCCTGCTTCTGCTTCTGCTCGTCTCTGTCCTGGGGGCGCTCGGGGTCCTCGGGGCACGATGGGCTCTCAGGGGAAGAAATGGACGACCAGGTGAGCAGCAGGGAGGTCCTCTGGGGATCAGGGCCCGCTGACTCATCAGGGACCCTCCAGATCTGCCCCCCAATATGGGGAGACACCCAGCACCTCTCAGGCTCTGGCCTGTCACGGGCAGGGGAGGGGGCTCCCCGGGGCGACCCTGACGTCATGCAGCATCACCGAGAGGCTGTGCGAGGCTGGAGGGGTGAACCCCGACTTGGGGAGGCATCGTCACCCCTGCACTGCTCATGCCGGGACCCGATTCCTGCCCCAGAGGTGGTGGACAGGCGGCTGCGGCGGGAGCGGGGGCCGGACACTGTCCGATGGGCCAGCCTGGCGTGCCCGCGCGTGCCGGGAGCAGGTCTCAGCTGCTGCCCACGTCCCCCACCCCACCCCGGGCCCAGACAGGGCCTGGGTCGGGTCTGAGAGCTGGACAGGGACACTGTCCGCCCCCCCTCCCCGGCACCCGCTCCTGAGGGGACCCTCTGTCAGGGCCCCCCTCCTGATGACACGCTCTGGGGGAGTAGGGGGCTGGGCTGGGAGGGGCCGGGTGCCCTGAGTGCTGGGCCCTGGGGACAGGCCAGCAAGGGCACGAGCCTCGGCCTCCCTGTGTCCGCGGGTCCCTGGGAGAAGGGCCCCCGGGGTGCCGGGCGGGCGGGGCCCCCTCGCGCTGACCCTCCTGACTTGTGTCTGTTCCGCAGGGGAACCCCCGGGGAGAGAGCCCCCCTCCAGGTACGGCTGCTCCCCCGGGGACGTGGTGGGTGGGGCTCCCTGGTCCCGAGACCCCGTCTCAGTCCTGCCCCTAGGGTGGGGGGCACAGCCTCCCCTGGGACCGGGGGTCCCCCAAGACAGCACCCCGGGGCCAGGCCAGGCAGGCCTCAGGGCGTCCGTGTGCTCTGAACCTGCAGATGAGGACACAGGGTGCGGCAGGGGACCCCGCGGCTGCCCACGCCCTGCAGGCCTGTCCGGCCGTCGCCACGGAGGCTGAGGAGGAAACGGTGCCCTGAGTCCCGGGGGCGGCCCCCCGCTGGCCACGGGGCCCGGGACACAGAGGACTGACCGCTGGGGGCGCCTGCTGGAGGCCGCAGGACACGCACGGCCTGGGAGCTGGGGGGACCCCATGCTCACTACAGCCCACCCAAGAGGAGAGGGGCCACGTCAGGACTTGGGGACCCCGGCCCCCACGTGTCTCTGGAGGCTGAGCCCTCCCCGCAGCCCTGTGAGTGCCCAGGACGAGTGCCCGCTGCACCCTCTGCCCCGGCCCTGGCTGTGCTGGCGAGCGGGACGGGGTGTGAGGGCGCCAGGACCCCCATGCAATGTGGGGTCACAGCCCACCTGGCCAGTGCACCGGCTACTCCCCGTGACTGACATTCCCCCGGGGCAGCATGTGACGTCCTGGCCGCCCCTGGAGGCGGCACCGACCCCGCCGTGACCTCAACCCACCCAGGGGCCCAGCTCAGGCCCAGGACCCGCTGACCCCAGCGTCCCCCCCCCCCCCCGCCCACCGCTCCCCGGGCTCCTGCGGGGAACAGGCAAGTCCTTGACTCTGCAGGGCCCACGGTGGGGGGGCTGGTGGGGGGGCTGGTGGGGGGATGCTGGGGGTCCCAGTGGCCTCCGGGGGGGAGTGGGGAGAGGAGGCTGAGGGTCTGCCCCCCTCCCAACACCCCCCACCCTGGCCGGGCTGAATAAACTGGGTCTGAACACCCTGGCGGGCGGAGCGTGCTGATGCCTCTGCCACCCTCCGTGCGGACCGACCCGGGCGCGCGCTGCCCCGCGGCGGGAGCTCAGGGCGGGGGAGGAGAGGGCGCCGGGGAGACGGGCGGGGACGGAGCTTTGTGCCCAGGTGCCACCCCGGCCCTGCCCCGCCTGCCAGGCCGTGGGGCGGCCTCTGTGCATGAGCCGCGGCCCGGCCCAGGGGAGAGCTGCTGGGTCTGGGGGCGTCTGGGACAGACAGGGCAGCGCGGGACACGGCCCTCGTGGGGTCCTGGGGGGTCCCTGCTGGGGGGGCCTCCCCCAACCCACTGAGCCAGCCGGCCCTGGCTGCCTGGTCCCCTGGGAGTGCCGCACCCCCAGCGGGCTGCCCCCCTCCTGCCCTCCCAGGGCCCCAACCCCTGCCCGAGCCATCCCGCCGCCTCCCTGACCGTGGGGCTCTGTGTCCTGCCCCGTCCCCTCCTGCCCCCCGTCCCTCTAGACCAGGACGAGCCGCCTTGTGCCACCCTGTGCGCATCAGCAGTGGCTGCTGCCCCCTGCCCCTCCCTGGAGAGCAGCCACTGGTGTGGCACCCCCTGGTCGCTGGGTCCTGGCCGGCCGGGGAGGCTGGGCTGGGCCAGCAGGGGAGACGTCCATCCCCAGAGGGCCCCACCTGGAGCTCACTCCTGGGGGCCCAACCCTCGACGTGGGGCCCCTGGCCCCGGTCTGCGCCCCCGTCTCGCATCCCCGCTGCCTCCCCGGCGCTCCCCCCAGGGCCTGGCCCTCCTGACTTGGGGATCTCTGGGGACCATGACCCTCGTGAGGTCCCCCAGCCCCCGACTCCAGGCAGGTGTTCCAGCCTGACGGCACAGGCAGCCCCGCCCTCCACTCCCACCAGCCGCACAGCCGCGCAGCCCTGCCGGGGCCCAGCCCGCGCCCGGGGGTGCTAGTGGCGCTCGCAGCGGAGGGCGGGCCTGGGAAGGGGCCGGGGACAGGGCAACAGCCCAACCAGGTGCCAGGGCCTCCCGACCCCCCCGCCCCTCAGTGGCCCTCACCCCCGGGCTGCCCCCCAGGCGGGCTCCGCCTGGCTCACCGCGCCCGGGCCGCCTGCCCAACCTGAGGACACTTTTAGGTGATGGGACCCCCGGGAGCCCCAGTCACGGTGGGGGGCTGCGTCCTCCCTCTGACGCCTGCTCCAAGAGGCGGGACTGGCGGCGGCTTCCTCCGTGTGCTCACAGGGGCCAGCCCGGCCCTCGCGTGCGGGAGACGCCTGTCCGAAGGGGCGGTCAAGGCAGGAGCACGTGGTCGGCGGGACAGCTGGGGTGGCCGGGGTGGCCGGGACGGCCGGCTGCCGGGTGGCCGGGGTGGCCGGGGTGGCCGCCTGCCGGGCTCTGGAATGGAGAGACGCCAAAAGCCCAAAGGGCCGAAAACCCAGACCCGGGGCTGTGGCGACACGACGCCCACACGGCAGGGGCCTGTGGCCGCAGCTGATCGCAGGACAGGGCCCGACCGAGGACAGGACAGGGTCTGTGGGTCTCCCCCGTGCGCAGCTGCAAGGGGCCTCGGGCTCCAGCACCTCGGGGTGTCTCTTACAAACAGGGAGACAAAGAGGCACTGTGGCCCCCGGGGCGGCTGCCCACCCAGAGAGCATCCGTGCTGGTCCCCACCGGTCACCAGGGTGCTGGGCAGCCCTGGCCGGCAGGGATAGTCGCTGCGGGCCCCCCCGGGGCGGTGTCAGACACCCCCAGTGTGAAGCGCTCCTGGCAGTTGTTGGGCGACGCCGGCGACGAGCAGCTCTTGGAGACCCAGGCCCGGGCCTCGGGGTCCCTTCAGGCCGCGGGGAGACGGGATGGAAACCCCGTCCCTGCAGAGACTCGGCTTCTCTCCCTCCAGGGCCGGCGGCCGCCGGCCCCTCTTTCCTCCTCTGCCAGAGGCCAGGGCTGGCTCTGCTGATCCTCAGCGGCCTGTCCGGCCGCCATTATGTTACCTACAGTTCTGGATCCCAAGCAAGGCCGGAAGGGCCAGTCCGTTGGGTCCAGGAGCCCGGCCCCGCGAGGCGCCTTTCAGGTCCGTCAGGAGCGCGAGGCCGGATCCCGCTGGGAAGCGCGAGGTCGCGAGGGTGACCGGGACGCCGGGGCTGAGGCCCGACGCACAGCACGGATCCCGCTTACACCCCCCGCGGGCGTGACGGGCACCGAGGACCACGTGGGACAAGGGACCCCGAAGCAGCCCCGTGGACGCCTTGTGGACGAGCCTGAGGCCGCGGGGGACCCGGAGCCTGACCCCAGGGGCCACCCTGAGCCTGGAGCAGGGGAGCCGGGCCCGGGACAGACTCGGGCCCCGATTCTCCAGGGACTCCCTCCCCGTCCTGTCACCTCCGGCCCCTCGCGACCGCGCGGCCGGGTTCCTGGAGCAGAGAGAGGCCGGGGTCTTGCTCTCCGCGGCGCCCGTGGCTGTCCGTGTGGCGCCGCCCGCAGCAGCCGGGAGAGAGTCTTTCCCTTTCTTCTTGGGGCCGGAGCTGGCTCTGCTCAGGGTGGTCTCTCAGCGCCCCGACCCCACCTCATGTCCCGTCAGGGAGCCCCACCCACAAGTCTGATCGGCCGTTTTGCACCCACCGGCTCCCCGCTCGCCCCTGACCGGTCCCTTCCGCCATCCAGGACGTTCGCAGCCGCATAAAGGGCTCTAAGCGCTCCTGCCCCCTGACCCCTGCAGGAGCCACAGGGGGGCCGCTGAGGCCGCCCTCCCCCGCCGCGGGGCGGCTTCCCCGAAGAGCAGGACGCCTGCACCTGGGGGGGGGGTCCCCTCTCACCCTGGACAGGACCCTCCCCTGGGAGCCCAGAGCCGCCTGACGGGGGCCCAGGGCGAGGCCCCAGGGGGAAGCCCGGGGCAGCAGGGCTTCAAAGAGGACCCCCTAAGTGTTGCAGCAGCCCCCCTGGAGGCCGTCGCTGCCGGGTTCCTCTGCCCCCTGAGGCCGCTCGGCTGGACCCTGGGCTCCTCCTGCCCGGGGCCCCACCGCAGGGCAGGCCCCTCCGGGCACGATACGGACCCGATAGGCCTCGGTGGCGCGGGCGGTGGAGCCTCGCGGGTCTCTCCCCGGCCGCTCCACACGAGCCGGGCCCTTGATGCTCGCCTCCTGCCCTGTGGAGAGGACCCGCCGGGGCCTGAGCTGACCGGCAGGGCCTAGAGCGGGCGGACAGTCTCCGGGCCCGAGGACGGGACGGGGCACGCAGGCTGGGCTGCTGCCCGGGGCGGTGCCCATCCCAGGCCCGCCTGCAGGGCGCCCTCCCCTGCCGGCCCCAAGAGCCAGCTCGGAGGCTGACGGCTCCCAGGCTGACGGGGGACCTGGGGCCCGCTGGAGTCGGGGAGCGTGAGCGCGGCAGGCTGTGGACGGCATCAAGCGAGCCCGCGCGAGGTCCGGGAGGGATGATGGACAGGAGGACACGAGCTGGACGGCTTCCTGTGTGGCACTGCCCACTGCAGCGACAGGGCTACAGGGAGGGCTCAGCCTCCAAGGACACGTGGGGGCCGGGGATACCCACCCAGCCCCGCTCCCGATCGCGGCCCCTCTCCTCTCTTGGTGGGGTGCAGAGCTCCCCCTCAGCTCCCAGGCCCCATGTTGTTGGAGACCCCCAGGCCTGCAGCGCCGAGACAAGGAAGACATCAAGGTCGTGCTGGAAGCCTGGGCATGGCTAAGACACTGATCCGCTCGGGGGGAGACTGGCCGTGGCCACATCGGGGTGCCCTGTCGGGCCCGCGGGGCTACGCCTGGGCACAGACTAGATTAGACAAAGGAACAGAACGGCCTGAGGGCGCAGGACCTCGCGGTGAGTGTGCGCCGGGCACGGCCTGTGCCGAGAGAGGCCTTCATCGTCTAGTGGCTGACCTGGGAGGGCTGCTTGTATCAGTGAAAACGAGGTGCACCCGCACTGGGGCTCCCCCATCTCGGAGACTCTGTTTCGCGTCAGTCATTTATTTCCTCGGCTCCACTGGATTCTCTCAACCCTGCTCGGCGGAGCTGGACGCGGGGCCGCGTGTCCTGGCGGCTTCAGCCGGCGCCCCAGCGGGCAGCCCTCCGTGTCCTGGGCCCGTGACCTGCTCCGTGCCCGGGCTCAGCGGACACAGGTGGAAATGGCCACTGCTGAGGACACGACAAACAGCACGAGCAGAAGCAGAAGCAGATAAAGTCTCCGGGAGGCGCAGGTGACGTCGCTGCTGCTGGTCCCCGGATTGGCTTCTGCCTCAAGCCAGCTGCACCTGGGGGGAGGCGGGGCCTGGAGCCGCAGGGGACACACCGGGACCCTGGACCCCACCTGGGCCCTGTGGCAGTGGCAGGAGCAGGCAGCGGGGTGGCCACCGGGGGGTCCTGGGTCTGTCTGCCTCCCCCAGCCCGCTCCAGGGAGGGCCCGGATGGACAGGGCGATGGACGGGACAGGGAGACACAGAGGACAGGACATAGGGTGTCTCTCTTGGGGTGGCCCTTATCTCTAGGGGATTCCCCAGGAGCCCCCCCGACTCCAGGCTGAGGCCGGGTCTCCCACCTGGTCCAGGGCCGGCACTGCTCCAGGGTCCCGTCGGGAGAGAAGGTTCCGGGGGGACAGTCCTCACACAGCGTGTCCTGCCGCTCGGTGCCTGCGGGGCGGGGTCAGGCGGGGCTGGGCTGGGAGCTGGGCAGCCCCCGGGGGCTGGGGCTGTCCCTTCCCAGGAGGGGCCCCGGCTGTGTCAGGCGTGGCCCTGGGGGTGCTCACCTCTCTGCCTCACACTCTGGCCGGGCCTGCAGGCCGTGTGGGGCCGGCACTGCGCGCAGCTGTCCCCGTGCACCTGGACGCAGACGTGGCCGGGGGCGCAGCCACACACGGCGTCCCCCGTGGGGGAGCACCCGCGCCGGGTCACCAGGCCCAGGGCTGCCAGGAGAGAGGGCTGAGCCGCGGCTGCCGTGAGGTGTTGGGGGGTGCTCCCACAGGATGGGGACGCTGGGGACGGAGCCCACCCGCCCGCACCGCCCTGTCCGCGCCCCAGCTCTGCCTGGGACCTGCAGGAACTATGCCGAGAAGCACCCAGAGCCGGGGAGCCTCGCAGCAGGGTCCTGGGGTGCCCTGGTTGAGGGACATTAGCTGCAGAGTTAAAGTGCGGCTGTCGGGGGACAGGCAGTGTCTCCCCCCCCCGGGAGGTGGCGAGGCAAGGGCTGACCTGCTCCCTGTGGACGGACAGGAGCGGCTCCCGTCAGCCCTGGGGGTGGCAGGTGGACCCCGATCCAGTGCCCCCAGGCTTGTCCCTACCACACCTTTCTGAACCCCAAAGCCCTTTCTTCCCATTTCACCTCGTGGGGTACCCCCTCCCCGCACCACCTGTCAGGGCAGGATGGGAGGGGTCTCGGGGGTGTGGGCGGGTCCTGACAGCAGAGCTCCTGGGTGTCCCGGGGCCCTTGTGGGGGGAGCAGAGGGACCCTCTGGGTGTCCCGCGGGACAGACCAGGATGGACAGAGGCCTCAGCTCCCGGAGGACCCCCGGGGGGCACTGGAGCCCAAGGAGCAGGGGCCGGCGGGCGCAGGGGTGGCTGTGAGGAGGCCTCACCTGGACGGCAGTCCCGGCAGGGCAGACACTCCCTCAGGTCATTGAGCTTGTCCATGTAGGTCCCGGGGGCGCAGGGGACACATGATGTGCCCGTGTTCGCCCCGCAGGCCTGCTTCACCCGCTCACCTGCAGCCAGAGGGTCCCCAGATCAGGGGCCGCCCAGAGGGGCCCTGAAGCTCCAGCAGGTGGCCCCACCCCAGGGGCTGAGCTCTTGAGCAGCTCCCCAGCCCCTGGAACATGGGGCCCCAGCAGGAACCTGATGGGGGAGTCAGAAGGCTCTGGGGGGACGTGGGCCTGGATATGTGGCCTATGGACAGCAGAGCCCACTGACCCCAGGTCCTTCCTCCAGGGCTGCCTTGCCCCAGGGCGCCCCCTGCAGGTAGCGGGAGGGTCTTGCAGGGGGATGGAGGACCCTGTGGGGGGCGGGGGTCTTGGAGGGGACTCGGTTCAGGATCTGGGTGATTGTCTGGTCCCAGCACCATGGCCCGTCCCCACCACCCATCCCTGGGCGTGGCCCTCACTGCACGGGATGGTCACACCCACCTGGGCTGCACTTGGGGCAGCACCGCGCCCCCACCTGGTACTGCTCCTCCGTGCACGGGGGCAAGTCTATGCCTTGGAGGAGGGAGATCAACAGGAGGCCGAGGATCAGCACCTGGGGAGGGGACGGGGTGAGGTGGGGCTGGGGGCCGTCTCTGTCCCTCCGTCTGCGAAATGGGCAGCAGCACCCTAAGGGCCGTGTCCTGCCAGGGGGACCCCTGAGAGGTCTCCTGTGCCCCCCACCCGGGGTCCTTGACCACTCGTGGCTGTCCTCACGGAGTCCTGACCGGGAGCCCTGAGACCCCGGTCTGCCCTGAGACCCCAGGAGCTGCCCCTCCCCTGGCCGGTGCTGCCTGGCCTGGCGCCCGCAGAGCCAGAGCAGGAGGCGGGACAGGCCCAGGGAGGCGGATGCTCAGGGCGGGGGCTGTGCCGGGGCCCTGGGTCCAGGATGACACAGGCCCCGCCCCGGGAACTTCCAGGCCTTGGGGAGGGGGCCGCAGAGCTGGATCCTCCCCCCACACCCCCCCACACCCCAACACCCACACTCCACACAGGCCTCTGTGGCCTCACCCCACCTTCTGGGGTTGAGCAAGGGCGCCGGCCCCACCCAGCAGCCAGCAGGCCCTGCAGGCGGGAAAAGCTCACCTTTGCCCAGGTAAGGGGGGGCAGGAGCACACAGGGGTCCCGCTGGACTGGGGGGCCCTGCCCACACCCTCACCCTGTCGGGGCTCCGGGGTGGGGGGGGCTCCGGGGCAGGGGAGGGGCAGGGGGGGCGGTGGGGCGGGGGGGCAGACGGGCGCAGACTCACCAGGGTCAGGGCCGCCCAGCCCTTGGGTCCTGCTGGCCGCGGGCGGGGGAGGGTCCCAGGTGCAGGAGGAGCCCCTCGCCCCGTCCCGGGACCCCCCATGCCGTGCCCCCCGCCCGGACTCCTGCCCCGGAGCCCCTTCAGCAGCGCCTAGGCGGCCATCTCGGGAGGAAGTGAAAGCAAAAGAGGAAACGGAAGCACCAAACCCCTCCGGGGTCAGGCCCGGGCCCCTGCTGGGCGGGGCTGACCCAGGGCTCCCCCGCGGGGGATGTGGCCCCAGAGTCAGGGGGCGCGAGGGACAGAGCCCGGCGGGTGGGGAGGGACGTGGCCCCCCTTCAGGAGTCCCCCACCGGCCCAGCCCCCCTACAGCCCCGAGGCCTACAGGGAGCCCCCACGCCCCTGAGCCGCGGGTCTGATGGCCACGGGGGTCCCCAGGGTAGGGGTGCGCCCAGGGAGGCTGAGCTGAGCGGGGGGGGGGGGAGGGGGGGCAGCTGGAGGGCAGCCGGGGCAGCAGGGAGCGGGGGGCAGGGGGCACAGGCGGCGCTTCCTGCTGGGAGGAGGTCTGAGGCCCAGGCTGAGGCCTCAGCTGTGTGCGAGGAGGCGACCCGCTCCCCTGCCTGCGAGGCGCACCCCGCGTCTCTTAAACCAGAGAGCACCACGTCCTGAGGAGACGCGGTCGGGACAGCCCTGGGCGAGGCGGCCTCGGGGCCAGCGGGGTCCACGCTCGGCCGCAGCTGGACGCGGAGCGGGTCCTCCCGTCGGGGGCGCGGGCGCGGGAACGTGATGTCTCTCAAGTGCCGGGAACTGGGGGTTTGGAAAATTGAAGGTTTTGGGGGGACATGGCCTCCGGCTCCGAGGCAAGGCCGAGGCCGCGGCGGGCGCGTGTGCTGCTGGCGCCGGGCCCGCGGGGACGGAGCGCGGCGGCGGCTGCTGTTTCCCGCGTTCGTGGCGCGGCTTCCCGGACAGCCGAGCTGGAGCCAACCTGGGGCCCGTCCTCGGTGGTCGGAGGGGATCTGGGGGCCTCGCGGAGCCCCCGCCACTCGCAGAGCCGCGCCCAGCCCGCGGGACGAGAGGACCCCGAGCTGTCTGTGCGGGGGGAGCCCGGGAGGGCGGGCGGGAGAGAGGGACGCGGGGCGCGGGCGGGGACACGCGGGTTTCCTGGACTTTCACGAACCCCGGGACCTGCTCCGCCTGTGCACGGTCAGTGCTGGTCGCTGTCCCGCTCGCGGTGGACGGCAGCGGGTTGCTTTCTGCAGAATTGTCTCAAGACAAGTTGTTTCCACAAAAGACCCCGAGATTCCGGTGGGTGGAGCTTTCCATGCGCTTTGTTTACAGCAGCCCTGGGCAGCTGTTGCACTTTGCTTTGACCCCAGAAATGTTTCCTTGTCTTCCCGGACCAGGATCTGCGGCGATGATGACGTTGTTAAGCAGAGCTGACCCTCTCTCCCTGGAGACCCCAAGCTCCTGCCCTCGCCCCGCCTCTGCGTCCCCAGGCGCCCCGTCTCTGCTGCTGACTCGGGGTCTCTGGAAATGGTGTCCCCTCCCTCCATGGCCCTCTGGCGGGGTCCTGCTCCCCGCGGGCTCCTGAGCTCTGCATGCGGGGCGCCCTCCCCACACGGGAGGGGCCCTGTTCGGGGAGGGAGGTAGACTGTTCTCCCTGCACCCTGAGGGCCCGACCCCTCACACACCTGACCTGGGGGCCGTGCCCCCGTTTCTGCATGGGGAGGGGCTCAGACAGAGACGGACCCACTGGACCCCCTGGACTGGGCCTGGCCCACGCATCGCTCTGTCCTAGCAGCCCTGAGCAGGCCTGGGGGCAGCTCGCTACCCGCACAGCCTCATGCGGCGCAGGCCTGTCCCTCCTCTGGGGGCAGGGGGTGGGGACAGGAGAGGACGGGGCAGGACAGAGCCCGCACAGTCAGGGAGGTGGCAGGACAGCTCGGGATCCTCCAGGAGCTGAGACCTCTGTCCACCCTGGTCTGACCCGGGACACCCAGAAGTTCCCCTCAGCCCCCCTCAAGGGCCGGGACACCCAGGAGCAAGGCTGTCAGGCCCGCGCACACCCTGGGACCCTGGGCCTCCCATCCTGCCTGACAGGTGGTGCGGGGAGGGGGTCCCCCAGAGATAAAATGAGAAGAGAGGACTTTGGGGTTCAGAAAGGTGTGGGAGGAACAAGTTTGCGGGCACCCAGATCAGGGTCTACCTGCCACCCCCAGGGCTGACGGGGCCCCCCACCAACACCTCAGGGGAGACCCTCCTGTCCCCGACACCCACCCTTCACCCCTTCAGCTAATGTCCCCCATCCAGGCACCCCAGCCCCTGCGATGTGGCTCCCCGGCTCTGGGTGCTTTGCAGCCCACGTCTTCCCAGATCCCAGGGAGCTCAGTGCAGACAGGCCGGTGCGGGCGGGTGGGCTCCGTCCCCAGCGCCCCCATCCTGTGGGAGCCCCCCGCCAACTCCCACCACAGAAGCTACGGCTCAGCCCTCTCTCCTGGCAGCCCTGGGCCTGGAGACCCGGCGCGGGTGCTCCCCCACGGGGGACGCCGTGTGTGGCTGCGCCCCCGGCCACGTCTGCGTCCAGGAGCACAGAGACAGCTGCGCGCAGTGCCGGCCCCACACGGCCTGCAGGCCCGGCCAGTGGGTGAGGCAGAGAGGTGAGCACCCCAGGGCCACGCCTGACACAGTCGGGCCCCTCCTGGGAAGGGACACCGCAGCACCCCGGGGGTGCCCAGACACCCGCCCAGCCCCGCCTGCCCCTGCCCCGCAGGCAGCGAGCGGCAGGACACGCTGTGTGAGGACTGTCCCCCGGAACCTTCTCCTGACAGGACCCCTGGAGCAGTGCCGGCCCTGGACCAGGTGGGAGACCCGGCCTCAGCCTGTGTCGGGGGGGCTCCTGGGGGATCCCCGAGAGATAAGGAGCCACCCCAAGAGAGACGCCCTATGGCCTGTCCTCTGTGTCTCCCTGTCCCGTCTGTCTCTCTGTCCATCCGGGCCCTCCCTAGAGCAGGCTGGGGGCGGCAGACAGACCCAGGTCTCCCCGATGACCCCCCCGCCTCCTCCTCCTCCTGCCCACAGGGCCGGGTGGGGTCCAGGGTCCCGGTGTGTCCCCTGTGGCTCCAGGCCCCGCCTCCCCCCAGGTGCAACTGGCTTGAGGTGGAAGCAAATCCAGGGACCAGCAGCAGCGAGGACACCTGCTCCTCCCAGATGTTTTGGCTGCTCATCCTCGCTCTGTTGGGGCTCTGGGGAGCATGGTATGCAGTGACAGACATTAACTCAACAGGTGAGCAGCAGGGAGGTCCTCTAGGGCTCAGGGCCAGGTGACTCATCAGAGACCCTCCAGATCTGCCCCCCAATATGGGGAGACACCCAGCCCCTCTCAGTTTCTGGCCTGTCTCACGTGCTGGGGAGGGGTCTCCCGGGGGACCCTCACATCATGCAGCATCACCGAGAGGCTGTGCGAGGCTGGAGGGGTGAACCCCGACTCTGGGGAGGCATCATCACCCCTACACTGCTTACGCCGGGACCCCAAATCCTTCCCCGGGGTGGTGGACGGGCAGCTGTGCAGTGTGGGAGGGGTCCGGGACACTGTCCCGTGTGGGCCTGTCTAGATCCTGAGCGCTCAGGGGAGCGTCTCCCGCTGCCCGCGGGTGTTGGCAGCTGCTCCCCGCAGGGAGCTGGCGTCGGGGAGAGCACCGTGCACCCTGCACACGGAGGTTCAGGACCCTAGAGGTTCTGCACACGGCACGTCTTCCCAGACCTGACTCTGTGCTCTGAGGACGGGCGGGTGGGGCGCGTGCTCCCGCCAGCAGGAACCGTGCTCTCCGCCGGGACGTACTCGTGTGCTCGGCGACCACGGCCGCCTGCTGTTTCCTGCTCCTGCTCCCGTCTGTGGTGAAAGCCTGGGCCGGGGGCGCGGGAGGCAGAGCTGCTCTCGGCGGCTCTCCCCAGCCTCCCCCTGCAAATTCATTCAGGCTCGTCCACGGCAGAGGAATCCATGGACCGTCCTGACCGCGGTGGTGGCGCCCCGACGGGGTCATGGTCCTGGGGCTTCGACGCAGGGTCGTGCGGTCAGTGCGTTCTCCAGCGAACCTGCAGCCCTGGGCCGCGGCTGAGCGGGAGCATCCGAGGTAAATGCCTGTGAGAGCAGAGTGGAGCCTCGTCTCCCCGACAGCGCCAACGAGCTGATAGATCGGGTCCTTCGGGCCTCTCGGTGGCTCCGGGCGGAGGTGTTTGGTGCAGAAAGTCGGGAACGGGTGGCGTCGTAAGCGAGGTGGAACGTCCCTACAAGCCCTTCAACAAGGGCTCCGCCCAGCGGCCCTGGGGCCCTTCTAGGAAACTTCAATTAAAGGTAGATGTGGGGTTCCTGGTGCTCCCGCCTCCCATGCCTGCGGCACCACGCGCTGAGAGGGAAAGTTGCCCCCAAAGCAAAAGCCCCAAGAACACGCGGCCCCACAGCCATCCACCAGCTGCCGGGCCACCCCCCGTAGCCGCAGTGGTGGCCGCACCGGGACCATTTGGGCCGACGGCCCGGAACTGGCCTCGCGCTGAGGCCGTGGCGTCGCCGGCATGAGAGAAAGGGACGGGCGAGCTGACCCCCGGCGCCTCCACAGCCGCTCTGGCTCGCGGCAGCCCGGCAGGCCCCGCCGCCACCCAGAGAGCCAGACCCCGCGGGCCCGGCCGCTCCCGGCAGAGCCTGCAGGGCGGCGACAACCATTGAAGAAGAGGGCAGGACAAAAACAGATGCCTGGATCAAGAGATGGGGTCCATACACCCCATGGAATATGACTCAGCATTCAGAAAAGACAACACATGCCATGTGCAGCAACGTGGATGGCGCGGGAAGGGATCATGCTCCGCGAAATAAGCCAGAAAGAAAAAGAAAAATCCCGGACGGTCTCACTCATCGCAGGAATCCAGAAACCTAAATAAGGGACCAGGAAAATGAATAACTCTAAGAAAGTGAAAATCAAAATCAACAAAAAACTATGAACCAGAGACACTCTATGGGGGGTGGGGGGGCGGGAGGGGAGGGATTGGGGTCAGAATGGGGGGGTTGCAATTGTATGGGGAATATAAAATAAAATTTATTATTTAAAAAAAAAAGAAAAAAGAAAAGGGCAGGAGTCGCGGGGTCCCGGGCCAGCCGGGAGCG